CCCTCACGCTTCCTCCTCAACTCCACCTCACTGGGCACCACCGCCGCCACCACCACCAGGGCAGCAGCAGCACCACCACCATCGAGATGGGCTCGGGCGCAGCACCTGCAGCCCGGGTGCCTGGGCCGCCGCAGCCAAGAGCGCTCCAGGCTCGGGGTGGGTCCGCCATGGCGCTGGAAGCTGCCGAGGAGGCCCTAAATTACTGCGCAAGTATGGAGTTGTTGAACAAAGGCCCATGCACTGCACCTCGAGGTTCAGCCCTGAAAGTTTTTCGGCGCCTGGAGCGAGACCCAGCACTGCCCCCGCCTGGCCAAGACGCGGGCTGGACCCGGCTTGGCTGAGGTGGTTCCTCACGAACGCGCGGGTGCAGCACGGACAGCGTCCGTCCACGTCCACCGCCGCCGCGCTCAGAGCATCCCGACACCGCCAGCCGTTCGTCATCGGCCTGGGCTGTCGTGGCCGCCCGAGTCCGCAGCATCGGCTGAGGCTGGGGCACTTTAGCCATCCCCTCCTTCTGCCGGCGTTGTAGCAATTGCAACAATGCCTGGACGCGTCGTCAGTCACGCGTCGACTGTTCACTCATCAGGGCAGAATCCTCCATGGTTCGGAGATCGGCAGCTGCTGTCTCGATCGCCTCGCTGTCGATCGCTGCCCGCCCGAGAAAAGCCCAAGCCTGCCGTCTTCTTGGATAGCACGCTCGTCTGTTCTCTCCCAAGCAGAAGCACTCATCCGGCAGCCAGCCGGATGGAGACGGTGCCTCACGCCGTCAGCAACGTCTCGCAGCATTTCCCACCGTAAACTCAACAAGCCAACGGGTTTGCTCGGCGTCGATGGCGCCGAACAGGGGTGAGCTGGTAGTTGCCCGGCTGGGGCAGGGGCGTGGCCCACCCAGGAGAAAACGTGGGCGACGACCAGGACCTCGGATGGCGCCGCTATCACCACTCCCCTCACGGCGCCGCACCGCTTCCTGGCGCGCAGCAACAACACCACCACCAGCTAACGAACGGCCTGGCCCATCCAGGTGGATGCCGCCGGCGGTACCAGCTTACAGCAGACATGCTCGTTCCGCCGAGCCGGGTTGCCTGCCTGCTTCTTTCGCGATGCCCATGCCTGCACACTCGCAGAAGTAAAATGTATAATACTCGCATACCGGGGCGCGAGGCCCTCCTCGTCCCCCTCGTCCCTTCGATCCCCGTTTGCCCGCCCGTTTGCGAGCACTCGAGTCCCGTTCAGCATCTGCCCGTGGCGTCTTGGCTTCGACCGACTTTCCAGCCGTTCAAGCAGTAGCCCCAGGCCTGGCGCTACTCCAGGATCCCAGACGCACGCCTCATACCCCTGTCCGGGCCACTCTGTCCGGCGCCTCCGCTAGACGAAGCATTGGGAAGCAGAGCCCGCACTGACGCTTCCCGTCTTGTAAGTCAAGCCCACCTCTGGTCGGCTCTGCCCTCCTGCGTCTGCATGCATGGCTGGCTGCGGTCCGTTTGTTCATCAGCGGCTGGTGCCCATCCGCATTCTTCTTCGTCACCTTGGCCTGGCCTCTCTTTCACCTCTCACTTGCACATCGCCTGTCCTCCCACTCGTTTTGTATTTGTCCCTAACAGTCGCTGAGCAGTAGTCCAAGCGCCAGACTTGGACATCGCCCTCGTTTCAACTGCCTCTGCTCGGGCGGTCTGTCATCACTCGCCAGTCCCGCTCACCTCTCGCAAACACCTGGTCGGCCGGCAGCTTGCACCACCAGCCCGATCCCTCTTTCGGTTCTTCTTGTGCTTCAAAGAGACGCAAGACAGCTCATAGCCGCCTCCAACTTCCGAAATCGCCAGCTAGCGCCTCCAGTCTGCTTGCAAAGCCGCTGTGTCACCGCCGCCGATCTGTAGCCGTGTCTCACCCACTTACAACGGCAGCCGCTCTCGTCCTCACAAAAAGCTGAGAGCCAAAGCAGCCTGTCTCGAAGCTCCTGGAGCTTCGGACTGAATAGTCCCCGTCCTAGGGCGCAAAGGAATTCCCCCTCGTCGAGCTTCCAGTCACAAAGACCATGGGGCTCGGCAGCTATTTCAAGGCTAAAAAGCCTGAGGAGGCGGCCGCCGCCTCGGGGTCGGCCCCGACGCCGGCTCCTCCGCGCATCCAGCGCAATCAGCCCTCCGCCCTGTCGGAGAAGCATCCGTCGTCGACCATGAGCGGCAATGACATGGAGCTGCAGCCTCCGACTCCCCGGTTTCACTCCCGCCCACAGTCGAGCTCTGGACGCTCGACGCCCTCAACACGCAGCTCCATGTTCCTCGACGACATCAAGCACGAGGTCATGGTCAATTACCTGTATCAGCAGCAGTGTTCTCAACTCTGGGTGAGCGACGGCTCGGGCGAGATTGAAGGAGTTCTTCTGCGAAAGGCCCGCGGCCACTACATGGCCTGTCCCCCTCAGCTCGGCAGTTCGCCGTTTGCCATGGCCTGCGCCGCCATGAACGTCCAGGTAAGTCCACTCAACATGATGCTCGAGTAATAGTGCTAACTGCCCTCTAAGTGCTCCATGACTGTCAACTCTCGAGTCATTAAGACATTCCTCCAGTGGTCTCCCGATGCCGTGGATGTACCCCTGATGAACGGTCTGCGGGTCCAGATCCTGCCCACCATCGACGACCTGCCTCGCGCGCGAAAGCACCAATTCGCCGCTTTTGTGGCCTCGGAGGGCCTGCTCATCGTATGGGACGACGATCCCCTTCACCTGGTTCAGCGCGCCAAGGCCATCGAGTCCGAGCTCATGGAACTCGTGTGGAAGGCCGGCAACATCGACGAGGAAGAGGATGAGAAGCGAGGCGGCGCCGTCGCAGAGGCCGAAATCGACGAGGAGAGCGGCGAGATCAAGCCCGAGAAGCGCCCTATCCACCTGCAAAACACGGTTCTCGTCTCCATCACGCTCATCCTGGTCACCGTCTCCCTTGGCGCAGCCTGGAGGCAGCTCGCCATCGAGGTGTCTGTTGACGGCGACTACACTCGTCTCGGCTTGGTCGCCTTGGCCCCCATCCAGATCTTCTTCACCCTCTTCTTCGCCCAGGTTATCGTCGGTTGTCTGGCACAGATCTTCGGCCCCATCCGTCAGCTCACCATCAACTCCAAGTTCTACTCGGCTCGCCCGCCGCCTCGGCTGCAGAGTGCGGTCCTCCCTCACGTCACCATTCAATGCCCGGTGTACAAGGAGGGCTTGCAAGGCGTCATCATTCCCACCGTCAAGTCCATCAAGCAAGCCATGTCCACCTATGAACTTCAGGGTGGCTCGGCCAACATGTTCATCAACGACGATGGGTTGCAGCTGATCTCCGAAGAGGACCGCCGAGCTCGCATCGAGTTCTACGCCGACAACAGCATCGGTTGGGTCGCCCGCCCCAAGCACGGCGAAAACGGCTTCCTCCGGAGGGGCAAATTCAAGAAGGCTTCCAACATGAACTTTGCTCTCATGATTTCCTGCAAGGTGGAGGAGAAGCTCCAGGCCATCAACCGATCGCCTGAGTGGAGTCAGCACGACGAAGCACAAGCCTATGAGCAGGCGCTGAAGGAGGTTCTCGAGGAGGATGGCCGTGCCTGGGCCGACGGCAACATTCGCGTCGGCGACTACATCCTGCTCATCGACTCCGACACCCGTGTTCCTGCCGACTGCTTCCTAGACGCTGTGTCTGAAATGGAGCAGTCCCCCGACGTCGGCATCATGCAGTTTTCCTCGGGCGTCATGCAGGTTGTGCATACCTACTTCGAGAACGGCATCACCTTCTTCACCAATCTCATCTACTCTGCAATCCGATACACCGTCTCCAACGGCGATGTTGCTCCTTTCGTCGGCCACAATGCCATCCTCCGCTGGTCTGCTATTCAGCAGGTGTCGTACCAGGATGAGGACGGATACGACAAGTTCTGGTCTGAGAGCCACGTGTCTGAGGATTTCGACATGTCGCTGCGACTGCAAGTCAACGGCTACATCATTCGACTGGCCGCCTGGGCCGGCGAGGGCTTCAAGGAGGGTGTGTCGCTCACCGTGTACGACGAGCTGGCCCGCTGGGAGAAGTACGCGTATGGCTGCAACGAGCTTCTCTTCCACCCGATCCGCACCTGGCTTTGGCGCGGGCCTTTCACACCCCTGTTCCGTCGGTTCCTTTTCTCCAACATCAGATTTACCTCCAAGATCACCGTCATCTCCTACATCGGTACCTACTACGCCATTGGCGCGGCGTGGATCATGACGGCCGCCAACTATTTCCTGATGGGCTGGTTCAACGGATATCTCGACAAGTACTATGTCGACTCGTGGCAGGTGTGGTTCTCCATCATCATCGTCTTCAACGGTCTCGGCAACGTCGCGCTTGCGGTCATGCGCTATCGTATCGGTGAGCGCAGCTTGCTGTACGCTCTCTTTGAGAACTTCAAGTGGACCATCATGCTGGCCATCTTCCTGGGCGGCCTCTCGCTGCACGTCAGCCAGGCCTTGTTGGCGCACATGTTTGAGATTAACATGACTTGGGGTGCCACAAGCAAGGAAGCCGAGTTCTCCAACTTCTTCATTGAGGTGCCCAAGGTGCTGAAGAAGGTGAGTTATCTTTGCCGTGGTCGAATTCTGAATTCCATATTGTGGCCGGATGCTAACCCTCTCCTCGCAGTTCAAATTCTCGATGCTCTTTGCTCTGCTCTTCATTGCCGGCATGATCATCCTTGCCGTCGCGCCGTTCGTTCCACACGACTGGCGCATCACCGACTTTGTCGCCATTCTGCCCATGGCTACTGTGGCCGCTAGCCACTTCCTCCTGCCACTGGCTCTCAACCCCGCCCTCATGACCTTCTCCTGGTAGAGAAGCTGTGTCGACACAACCCACAATCGCTACCTACCAACAATACACGCATCACCACGCACACATACGCATTGTTCATGACAACCCCCTTTTTTCATATAGACGGACCTGGAGTTCTCACGGATTTTGTTTCCCCACACTACAACAACATACATCATAATTCTGACATATAATGTGTCGCAACGGCCGCGATGGGCGGCTTGCATGACGCGCGGGGACCAAACTGGTTGGGATACTGCGGTGCTTCGCGGTACAGATTCCACGGTCCCCCGCATGGATACGGAACGGCGTACATAGGCAGGGAGGGAATACGGGGTGCCACGACTGCGGCCGTGGTCTGGCCGGGCGAGGTGATATACTTTGCATATTGGAGGCTGGTATCTGACGGGAATGAGATGTAGTGCAGGAGTTTGGCCAGGTGCTGGCCAGGAGGCTCGAGGTCAGAGTCTAGTCGGACCCAGCAAAGATCAATCTACCTGGATAGCCAAGACATTGGCCTAGCAAATAGAATCACAAGGTTCAAAGTCAATCCCTTCCCTCATGTCTCATACTCAGTGAAACGTCGCCATGTCGAGCGCGGCTCAATATTTCGTGCGTATCCTAACTCGTCCTTTCTATCGAGCAATGCATGCATTATGCTTATCCAAAACTTTTCGGTCTATCATTGGGCCTGACCATGCAGTCGTTGCGCCCATCCAAGCAAGGAAATGAAACGCCTCTATCTGTCCGAAACCCGCGGCGGCCATTGTCGCCACCTTCGTATCTATCCTATCCATTGCGCTTGTTTCGCGATGCGCTTCGTCGCAAGACCGCGAACAAGGGGCATCAAGCCCTCATCGCCGCGAAACGCTCGCTCCGTCTAGTTATGCCTTTCCCTCCATGCACAGTCCCTCATGTGAACAAACGAAATCGTCGCCAAGCAGAAGCAGAAGCACCATCATGCTAAGTATGCACAAGTCCCTCACATCGTCTCGAGGATGGCAAACAACTGGAACGCAGCCCAGCCTTAGTCCTCGTCGTCGGTGTCCGGGGGGTGAGGCGTGCCCTTCGGGCTGTTGAGCCACTCGATGTGGCGCAGACGGCGTCGGACCTCGCGCTCCTTGAGCTCCTTCTTGGTCATCTTCTTCTTCTTCTTGGCCTTGAACTTCATGTCCGCGTTGTCCTCGACGCCCGAGTTGACGGCGCTGCTGACGACGGAGCTAGCGGCCGTGCTGGTGACACCGCTGCCCGGTCGGCTGTCCTCGAACCGGTCGAGGCTGACGGCGGTGTTGCCGCGGAGAGCGACACGGCCGTCGGCAACGTGCCACTGCTCCGAGCACAGAGCACCAACAAATTCCTCGTTGTGGGAGATGAGGATGACACCACCCTTGAACTCGCGAATGGCGACAGCAAGACCGCCAAGAGAGTCGCGATCCAAGAAGTTGGTCGGCTCGTCGAGCACAAGCAGATGCGGGTTGTTCCACATGGCACCAGCAATAACGACCTTGACCTTTTGGCCACCAGACAGAGAGCCGATTTCGTTGTGGTTGGCAATCTCCGGGTCAAGACCGAGGTCCTCGAAATGCTTGGAGATGACCTTGGGCAGGAGCTCGCGGTAGCCGAGACCCTCACGCGACGCCTCGTGGTCGTCAAACTCCTGAACGAGCTTGTCGAAGCCGAGCTCGCTAAGTGTCTCTCGGGAGATCATGGTGTTGTGCTTGGGGAGCAGGTTGCGCCATTTGCTATGCACGGTCAATACATTTTCTACCGTAGAGAGAGTGAGAAGGGGACTTACACTTCATATTGGAACGTCTTCTTGTACTTTTGACGACCAACGAGAGTCTCGATCTGGCGAGCGGCCTTGCCATCCTTGAGGTCGACCCACTTGTCCATCTGCTCGCGATCCTTGTCTGACAAGATACGGGTCTGCTTCATGTGAACCTCGCGGTCATCACCGTTGGCGTAGCGCCATTGAAGGTACTGGTTGGGCGTCTTCTCGAGGTGCATCTCGACGTGCTCCAGGGCGTGCTGCTTGATGTATCCGATACGCAGGTTGGGATGCTTCTCGACCTTGCCGGTCGTGGGAATGGTCTCGCCTGTGAGAAGCTTGATAAGCGTCGACTTGCCCGCGCCATTCGGTCCAATAATGGCAACGCGTGACGACAGCGACAGCTGGCAAGACACTTCCATCAAAGAAGGCTTAGGAGCGTTGGGATAGGTGTAGGAGACATTCGACATGCGAATGATGGCACGTGTCTGAGACTTGACGCCACTGAGAATGCCAGGAGGAGGGAACTTGAACTGCACGTTGCTGGCCGAGAGGGTGTAGTAGCTCTTGGCCTCAGGGCGGAGCGTCACAAAGTTGGCGAGGTTGCCCTTGTAGCATGCCAGCTTCTTGTTGGGCTCGTAGTGGTAGATGTCGGTCGTGACATTATCGAGGAAGCCAGAGTCGTGAGAAACGATCATGCTGGTAATCTCGGTGTGCGTCTTGAGGTAGTTCTCCAGCCAGGCGATGTTGGTGACGTCGAGGTGGTTAGTCGGTTCGTCCAAGAGGAGGACGTCGGCCTTCTGCAGCATGGCTCGGGCGAGGGCCAGCTTCATCTTCCAACCACCAGAGAGGGAGCCGACCTTCTGGGCCTGGCGACCTTCGGGGCCGGCAGTGAAGCCGAACTCGGACAAGACCTCTGAGATACGCTCGGTTCCTTGGTCAGCGATTGTCGGGTCCTTGGAAACAAACTCCAGAATGCTGATGTCGGCGTCCTCGCCTTGGTTGTGCTCCACGAAGCAAGTGCGCAGAACGTCCTGGGGAGGGAAGCCCTCGAGCTTGCCATTAGCAATGCTCCTCATCAAGGTGGACTTTCCAGCACCGTTGCGACCGCAGAGGCCATAGCGGTGGCCCTTGAGAAGGCGGAGGTTGGTATGCGACAGCAACAGCATGCCACCATAGGCCAGAGAGAAGTCGGCATTGACAATCTCAACTTCGCCATCATCCTCCTTCTCAGGGACACCATAGCGGCGGTTGTCCTCCTCGATGTAGAATTGCTCGATGGCGTCCCCGACCTTCTGGTGAGCCTCGGAATCCCGCATCAGGGTCTCGAGGTACGGCGCGACGCGGCCCGAAATGCGCTTGACAAAGCGGTAGTTGACATCGGTCGCAACCATGTCGCTGATGTATGGGCGCGCGACCTTGTAGAGATCCGGGTGGCCCGCGAGGCCACCATGCTTCTTGATCTGCTCGTCAAGGACCTTGCCGACATCATCGGCAGTGGTACGAGCAACAATATCCTTGTCGTTGCCCATGGCCTTCTCCATGGTGGCCAGGGCTCGGTTCGCAAGCTCGCGGACCTCAGGGAGCGAAGCGCGGTCGCAAACGCCCTTGACACCGGGGGTGAGCTTTGGCAGGAATGTTCTAGCTTCGATAGGATCGTGGACGAGCTTGGTGAGGTTCTCGACGATGACGACGGTCTGGCGCAGAACCTCCTGGGCGGTGTTGGGCGAGTTGAGGGACCGCTCGAGGAAGGGCGTTAAGAGTGCCAGAACCGGCGACGTGACGATGGCGACGAAGGTCGTCATTGAGAGCGCGTGGATGGCTTTTTGAAGGGTCTGAGCCGAAGGATGCTGCATCGTTTCGACGAGGAGGGGTATCCGAGGAGCGACGTCGTCGTTGGAGAGCAGAGTGGTGAGCGAGTTCATGGTCTGAACAGCCTGCTTCTCGACCTCGGCTTTCAAGTCGTGCATACCGCTCTCGACGATGGGGATCAGGCCGGCCAGCTTGGCACCCATGGCCTCGCGGAGGATGTCCTTCTCGACAGCCTCCTCCTTGGTCGTGCCAATGGCCATCTGCGACTTGTCGGCCATCTTCTGGAGCAGCTTGTAGGCGCCGACGGTGCCTTGCCACTTGCCCGTCTTTCGGGACAAGTACTGAACCAGCACGGGCAGGAGACCCGTGACGAGGGCCTCGGCACTCAGATTGCCAAGGAGGGCATCGAGCCCGTACTGGGCGGCCTCGCGCACAACGGCGCCCTTGTCGGCCAGAGCGTCTAGCGCGCACGGCACGAGCCCATCCTCCTGGACGAGGAAGACAACCTCGCTGACGTGCTGGCGGGCAGGGAAGCGCTCGAAGATGGCGCCGAGTAGGTTCTGGCTGCTCTCGCGGCGGAAGCCGTCCTTCTTGTCGGCGGCGGCCTTCTTGATCTCGGCGAGGACGCCGTACTGCTGCAGGCCGGACACGCCGACCGAGTTGAGAAGCAGGTCGCACAGGCCGTAGCTGGCGTCGACGGAGGCGCCCGACGTCTTGGCCGTGAAGACGGTGTTGACGAAGGCCGAGACATCCTCCTGCGACGGCGGGGGAGGGTCGTCCTTGGACACCATGGTCGGCGGCGAGACGGGGTGCGGCATGGTGAAGGTGGTGGTTGCCTCTGTCGTCTAGACTAGAGTAGGTAGCGCAATGCGTCGCCGCAGGACTGCGCTCCGTATCTGAGGCGTCTAGAGAGGGGAGAGGGTGGTGATGAGGGAGAACAGAGCAGCAGGCGGGAAGAAAGCATGGCCCCGCGGCGAGGAAGCCCACTGACCCTTGCTGACATAGACTTTTTCCATGGGCAAAGGTTGGGCTGGGCAGGCCTCTCGAAATTTTTTTATCAGAGGCTTCGGGCTGCTTATCGCACGCCCCCCCTCCCTCTCGCCCCTCCCCTGCGCCCGCGCCGAATCCCGCCGCCACGCTCGTCACTCGCCTGGCAGAGCCCACGCTCCCGCACCAGCCCGACTTCATGTTTTGCTTACCCTACACTTCGTGGCTTAAATGCACCTCCACGTGCGCTTCTCCTTGGACGACAATGCATCAAATGAGATGCACTGTTTGATGAAATGGCACAGCTCAGTCGTCTCGATCACTTGGTATCCATTCTGCTTGCAGTTTGTCGCCCCTTGCCCGTTTACTGGAATTACTTCGCCACAGAATGGTGAGCCAAGTAGTCAGATTTGGACGAGCCTGTCGTCATACGAGGCGCTGTCACTATTCTTAAAGTGATGGTTTCGGGTTAACGGTCTCAGTTGCTGTACAATATGAACCACAGATAGCGACAGGATCCTCCTCCGTGCTCCCTTTCCCCTCTTCCAACACCTCCACAGTGTCGACTACTATCAAGCCCATAGCCAACGTCCATGTAAGCACGCCCGCTCGCCTAGGACTTGAGTTTCTGGCGGACTCTATGCTCTGGGCTACAAACTTTCATTTCCTTGGCCCCTTTCGAGGCATAACCTCTATAAACTGGTGCGTGACACTGTTCTGAGTCGCTTGCACCGGGCCTCGCTGCCGCTCGATGGGACTTCGAGCTCTCGCCAACGAGGAGAAATTGCTGGTTGCTGGGGACGAGACAGATTATCAGTCGATGACGAGTGCAGGCTTGTTGACGACGGGACTAACGTTGACGGCCCGTCGAACCAGAGTTCACCGAAGACGAGCCCATACCTCCGAACGAAGGTTCAGGTGCTGGAAGATGTGCTGCGTTGCCTGTCTGCGTGTTGTCCTGGGATTGCTGGACCATCCCGGAAGTGGCCCCGAAGAGGCAGGCTCTGGGAACGGACGGGTGTTGAGCTAGACTGGGCTGGCCGAAGATGACCCTACCACCAACGGCTGTCGAAGTTGTTTGTGCGGGAGTTGAATGATGGGTGGTGGCGTCTTGGGCATGTTCGCCATCAGGTGAGACCGCAACAGATGTGCCCGGAGTCTGAACTACAACAACCCCTGATGTAGTGCCTTTGATCTCAGTTTCTTGAGTCTTCTGATCTGGTGTTGTCGATTTACCGGTTGCGATGTGCTGTGGGCGTTTGTTCGGGAAGTCGACCTGGGCCGAGCAAGGCCGCTTCTCAGATGTCCCAGCCCCAAACAGGGGCAGATTGCCAGAATCGGAGCCACCAGCTGTGGAACCGAAAGTGCATCCGGTACGAAAAGAAGGAAAGTGACCCTGATAGGCAGACAAAGCCGTGACAAATGATGCTTTGGTGTCTCTCTGCCCCATTCGAGACTCGTGAAGCCAAGATTGGATATGGAGCTTCCTCAGGCTATTCGCCGTGACGGGTGTCTCTGGGCCGCTTCGGGCAGATCTCATCGCCCGGTAGGCAATTTCTGTGTGAATGAGCACTGGAAACGAGCCCAGTGAGAACGTGTTGATGGCCTGTGCAACATTCTCGAGATCGATGGTGCGAACTTTGAAGTCGATTTTGCCCGGGAAAACGCCAAGCACGATCCTGTGGGCTTTGATGAACGAGCCTAGGTATCCTAGGAATTGGAACTGGAACGATGAGTGGCCGGCTTCGAGGGCGCAATCCTCCGATATCTTCTTGTGAAGCTCTTGCACGGTGGCGAGCCTGCTAGAGCTCACCAGTTCCCGGAAGCGCTGCATATGTGAACAATTCGGCAACGCCGGCATGTCCCAGATGCGGCGATCAGCAGCGCGACAGGCCACTGCATATTGTATTGCGAGCTTCAGGAAGGCAGGCGAGTTCCCCCATATCGGATGCGATACCAACATGTCGAGGCAATCGCAGAACTGCTTCGACCAAACAGTCACGCTGTAGCCGTCCTCAGCCGGATCATCTTCGTTATGACTAATGTCGTGGTAGCCGAGCTGTGTCTCGTTCTCGACTGTTGTGCTTTCCCTCTCCGGGCTGTACTGCATGCTGTCTCGAGGCGAGATGATGGCAAACGGCGAGCAGTGCATGAGCCGCACGCAAGACTTCCACAATCTATGGAGCGGTGCATTTCGGATCTCGACCGTATCGATTCGGCGCTTCTCTTCGGACTCGTTCCATTCCTTCATAAAGTTCTCCTCATCATCCTTTGTCCAGTAGGCGTCGAAGCTGGGTTGCTCTGGGCCAACAAGGCGCTCGACATCCTCAGCTTCGTCCTCTCGCAAGGGCTCGTCAGCCGCGAGCCGTTCCCGGGCAGTCTTTATGCCGGCTTCGTAGATTTTGGCGAACGCAGTAGCGGCATCGTGCGCGAGCGCCGGGTGCATGTTCACGGCCAAGTGGTACTGTATTCAGTCGCGGGAGCTGGGGCGTGGAGACGTCACAAGTCTACCACATCAAGACTGGCGGAAAAACTTGTTCGAGATGTATCGCGATGCTTGAGAGATTCAATGAGTGGTGACGGATGACCCGACTTTTTTCGCGGAGTGTGTGGATGGATAGGGCAGAATTCGCGAGTGAGCAGCCCGTGGCAGGAGGGCAGGTTTGCAACTGCCACGACAAACGAGCAGGCTGCACGTGTGTGCAGATGGACGTTCGGCCTCTTGTTCAATCCGCCGTCGCCCGACATTTCCCCGTACAAGTCACGGGTTCGATTCTCGAGAATACGATAATGTTCCATCGTTCCGTTCCAGTATTCTTCCATTGCTTCGCCCCGGCGAAAGTAAGTCTAGGAGTGTATGTACCGCGTCCCAGTCATGTGAACACAATACACCCTCAACACCGTGGCATCCATGAAATCATCCAACCTCATTATGTGTCGTAGCACGCATCCGTAATAGTCCTCCATGTACACACTCTCACACCTAGTCAATGCCCAACGGAGGTGGCCCGGTAAATCACATGCTGTCGAGCCATGCTCCAGTATTCATCCAGCTCGACGGCGCACCGTCAATGTAAAACTGAAGTTCGCCCTCGAATCCGTCATTACCCGGTCCCAGTTGCGGGTAGTAAGGCGCCGCTCCGGGTGGTGCTCCCATGCCATACGGCGCAGCACCTGGCTGATGTGAATCAAATGCCTCGATGAGCATTCCCAACCCGTCGACGGGCTGACGACCGAGCTGCGGAGCGTTCTGTTGTGGCGACATGTACATCTGTTGTGGATTATTTTGAAGAGGTTCTTGTTGATGCATTGCTTGCCGTTGGTGGAATCCGGCGGGATGGGACAGGCCGTGGTGAAGTGACTGTATCGGGGTGTGATACTGCTGGTGATTTGGCGGCGTCAGGATCTGCCCATTCGTCGAGGACGGCAAAGCAGATACCACGGCGCTGTGTGGCGACTGCATTGTCGTCGGCGTGAGCATCTCGGGCTGCGTCCCTGGCTTGGGAAGCACAGCGTTGTCGGGCAAAGGCGGCGCATGCCCGAGGTGTGGTGGCGTCGGTGCTGTTGGGAGCGGAGGCATTTGCCGTATCGCGCGAGGAACCGGATCCTTGCCGTCGTCCATACTGCCTTCTTCCTTGAGCGCATCGGACTGAGGGTCGAGCGTGAACTTTTCCAGCGCCTCGACCCAGCGTGCTGCCAGCGGCCAGACTTCCTTGCATTCCCTGAGGATGGTGATGGTGCGTTGCAGCATCGCTGGACCGTCTCGTGCCAGGATGTCATCTCGGCATACTGTAGCGCGGGTCAGCATAGGAGACTAACGACAGGTCATGATGGGGAGAGTCAACTTGCGTTTCGGATATTTGCAGATGTACGTCGAAAAGAGGCCGCAGCTATAGACGCAGAAGGCGGCTATTTGAGCGCCGACACTTTCGTCAGGTGTACGGTCGGTGAACTGGGCATCAACTTGTTCGTATAGCTGACGGACATTGCGAAAGAGGTCTTGAGAAAGGTCCGCAAAGAACGCTTGCCTCTGTGAGTCTTTGGGGTCGGGTTTGATGGCGCTGCGCCTCGTGAGTATTCAGAGTCGCTAGTGGACTGAGAGTTTGGAACATACTCTATCAGATACGGCCGCCGCAGCACGATGTTGCAGAGCCTCGTCATCATGGTGACACAGAGGTAGGCCTAGGGGTTTGGTCAGTACTATCCCGGGACTGGAGACGGCTGGGATATGGGACATCTTACCAAATCTTGACCCTCCGCCTTGTACCCCTTGAGCAAAAAGTTGCTCCACATGTGCTCGTGTGGAAGGCTCTGCTCCCAGTCTTTCAACCTTCTGACCATCATCGAGAACTCGCTCGTGGGTTCCCATGGCCGAGAGCTTTTGCTGTAGCTCATGGCCCTCCGGCCGACGATGCCCCAAAAGTGATGGATCTGCATCAGTGTCGCAAACAGCGAACGGTTGGGGTCTCGGATGAGGGATGGGTTCTCCACTGCAGGCGGGGTGCCCTCCAGTGCCGCCCGAGATCTCGGCTCACGGCCGTGAGCAAAGTCGTCCTCGTTGCATGGGAGCAACGCCGTGATGTCGGCAGCGGCAAGTGACACGGGCGACAAGGGTCCGGAGTGGAGGCTATCCTGGCTGTGCAGCATCCACTGCGGTTCCGAGCATTAACACCAAAGCTATCAAGGATGGAGCGAGCACACCTACCAGCGTCCGTCGTGCAGACTCCGCTCGGATGATCAGGTCAGGTGTGGGATTCTGCACCTGATATGTCTCCTCCCGGTGCAGCTGCATTAATGCAGCCATCCGCATCGCAATTCCCATGTTGATCTGCGACGAGTTAGCGCACGCTCCACGAGCCGGGATGCAGGCTTGCATACATAGCTCTTGTTTCGCAGTCCACTGCCTTGCTGGGCAATGCTAAGGAGGTAGAATGCCTGGCACCTCTCCAACGTGGGTTCCTGATACACCTCACCAATGGCAATGCTGGCTGCCCGCTCCATGAAGAACTCGGCAGCCTTGACGCCCGTGCCGTAGCGGGCCTTGAGCGAAGGGCTCAGTCTCGCGGATATGCTGAGGATGCTCATGACGAGAAACAGGTTGACGGACCGATGGTCGCGGCGGAGACGCTCGGGAAATTGCTGCTTCGGGACGAAGCCCAGCTGGAAGTAGTACCTCGTGAAGCGGTTGACACCGTCGATCAGGTCTTCCAGAGGAGGGAGGTTCTCCCAATTGTCGGCTGCGTGATGCCGGCCGGCGGGTCCTTCCAGGATGCTCCGCCGGATCTTGGCAGCGGCCGACTTGGTCGACCGGTCAGCCCTCGTCCGTGGATGCCGGTACTCGCGGTCATTGTCCGCTTGTCCCCTGGCCGGAAACTCGCTTTGATTGGGGTCAACACGCAGTCCATGCATATATGAGAGCTTTCACCGGCAACGTACCATGCTTCGGGGCCAAGGCCAGCCTCGGCGCAGGACTTGCACGGCGGCTGGGCCTTGTCGTGGATGCACTTGCTTCTCATCCGCCGACATCTGTTGCTAGCGATGAGCATACTGACTGCTCCTGGCTTGAGGGAGCTCGGACCAACCTTCGACACGCAATGGGAGCCCTGCGCTTAATGGGAGCCGCGTCGCCCGGGCCACTGCTGCCGACAGTGCCCGGGTCTCCGCCGCTGGTGACGGAGCCTGGGGCGGAGCTGGGCGCCGCAGGAGGATGCTGAGGCGGCGGCGGCGGCGGCGGAGCAGCATGAGCGTGGGAGTGAGCATGAACGGGAGCGGCATGGATCCCGAAGCCGGGGCCCGGCCCCGGGTTTACCCCAGCAGGGTCCATGGGATGGCCCGGGAGTCACGATTGGGGTCGCCGAGTCGTGGCTGTTTCGCGTGGGTTGTTGGTGCGGTTCTCGACCGGGTGCGGGTCGACTGGCTTGCCTGCCGGAAGAGACGGGATCTGGGATGCGGCGCGCGCAGGGGCGGCAGGCAGACGCAGCGGGCAAAGAAAGGACGAGTGCAGCGCAGCGCAGCGCAGGCCGGCAGCGGCGAGTCGATGAGATCAGCGGGTGCGTTGAGCCGCCGGACGGAGGGGCGAGGGCGTCAGCTGCGACATGTCCGGGCCGGGCGTGAGAATTTGGGATGGGAGACGATGGAGTCTGGGAAGAAGAATCGCAGAGTTGCAGCCGCGCGCCGAACGGGACGGGACTTTAGGCACTTGCACACAGCGGCGTTGGGGGCAGGTACAGCGGACCGCAGCACATCGCCGCGCGGCTGCGAGGTACCGCTGCGTGGTAAGGTATGTACATACCTTGCCTCTAGCAGCACCTCGAGCCCAGCTCCGCGACGCGAAGCGAAGCCATGCCAGTACCAGTACCTGTAGCACCGGCGAGGCCCCTCTGGCGCTGCCCCAGCTCGGCCGCCTTTGCCGGGCGACCCTGGCCGGACCCACGGTGAACGGCACGTGACCCGGTCAATTGGTGTCTCCGTCGCTGCCCAGACGCTACTCACGAGCTCAGCCCAGACCTTCAACGCTTGCAGCTCCAGCAACGACGACGTCACTCGCCGATGCTCGGCGCCCAGCCTTGAATTTTTGAGTTTGCGCGCGGACTCGTCGCCCGGATCGCCACCAAGACGTGGACTTATCGTATCGCGCAACATTGGTACTTGTGCGTGCTACGGAGTGCAACGACGGGCTAACCCCGTGAACGACCGGCCGACTGGAGCGCCTGAATTGATCCGCTGTGACGCAGAATCACCTGCTGCGGGCCCCCCTCGTGCTTCGCGTCTCAATGCTCGCCTTTGCTTGCTCACCTTTACTTGCCAACGTTACTGAGTTACCAGCACAACTCTGGTTGAGCCTGCGTCACGCAGGTGTTGGGCCCGAAATGCCACAAAGACAATGCCTCCTCGCATCTGTTGTCGAAACTGAACGCCTCCTTCAGCCACGGCAGACTGCTGGCTCGGCGAATGATGCGAGGGCATGTCTGCAGCAGACGCCCGCGGCGGTGCAGGTGGCCGCTGGGTCGAGGCCAACTGACGGCCCCTGTGACACAGTTCTGTACCTCCGGCAATCTGCCTCGATACCAACCTTGCAGGCATCAACCATCAACGGAGCTGGCCGAGGTTGCGCCCGTTGGCTCGCGGACCGGCTCTCTATGTGCCCTGTGCCAAGTCGATCGCTTGTCGACAAGTCTGCACTACTGACGATCCGCATCCAACCGCAGCGGCGTGATGATTCGAGACCCCGCAAGGCACCAACCGTAACCCTTCCGCCGTTGCGTGCTGTAGACTGCGCGAGGGGGCGATAATGACCTGCAGCCAGGGTCGCCCTTCAACGGCCGGGCTGACCTTGCTGCAGCCAACAAGGGCATAACCGAGTCCAGCCGGTTGTGCCTGTAAGGCTGTGACCGCTAGCGCCGCCACCTATTACCGCGACTAGTGGTTTCTCAAAGACTGAGTTCTCGCCTGCCTATGCTCGTGAACCGCGTCATCTTCGTCGGCCTCCGTCTTACTGTATTCGAGGCGATGCTCACCACCATCTGTGCCGCCAAACGCGCCGTGCCTCCGCAACTCATGTCATCTCAGCCCGTGTCGCCGACTGCATCAGGAGGTGCTCACGGCGGCTCCGTCGCACTCCTGGGTCCGTGCAGTTGTTCGACCACCCATGGTCAATAGACAATGGCGTATTGTTGTTGGTCAGCGTCCTACGCCCGACAGCCCATTATGAGCGTCTTACCACCACCACCACGCGCGGTCGCAGCCCGAATAGTATTCTGCCGGCTCATGTGCCAACCCTCTCGTCAGCCAATTTTGGTATGCAGATAGTATCAGCGGCCGTGGGGTGCCGAGGGAGTTGGGCCTCAGTGCCGACATGGCTGTCGAGCCGAAGCGCGGGGAGAGCGACGCCGCCATCAGTGCTGGCACCGCGTTCTGTGACAGCTTCGCCAACCCTAACACCATTTCGTACTTGTGACAAGTTGATAAGACTGAGTAACCGAGTGTCAGTGACGCCCTTTTTCGAAGCCTCAAACCATGGTCACGAAGTCCACCTCTCCTATGGCTTTCGGAAGGCAGTCTGCCGCCGACCTCGAGAGCTTGCCCGTCGAACTCAATTTGCTTATCCTTGAAAGTCTTCCTGACGTCAAGTCCCTGGCAAGTGTCGCCTATGCGGTGCCGTCACTCTATCGTACGTTGCTAGCCGACAATTTGTCCATCTCTACACGGATCTTGCACAGGGAGCTGCCCGACTACTTGTGGACACACGCAACTGTCGCCCACCTTGCTCGACAGAGGGCCTCCACCGGCGGCGACTTTGACAGCTTAGAGACGAGCTCCGACATAGACGCACTCGTCGACAGCTTCCGGGGCCTTCGAGACAATGCGCCTGCCTACCGAGCCACCCATGCCGAGGCCATCGCCATTCTGCGCACCTACGACAAGGTTGTTGCACTCCGAGACCTTTTCGCGCTTGATTGCCCGTACGCCGGCAACCAGGAACTCATTCCGCTGCGGGATTCTCTTAGACGACATCCCCTTGAGCCTTCGGAGCTGGAAAGGATCGAGCGGGCCATATACATGTTTGACATCATTTCGTCGTTCTGCAAAGAAAAGGTCTTCATGAGCCCAGGAGACGCAGCGTATGTATCCAAGTGCTACGAAAAAGTGTCGGCACTCCAGAAGGCACTGGTGGAGCGACTGATGGCACCGTGGGAGCTGTATCAGGTCATGCACATGCAGGCGTACTTTCGCCGTGCTCTCTACGGGCTTGGTATGTACTTTTGTAAGCCCCAAATGGAATGGAACTTTCGCTGCTAATAACACGGCAGATCGTGACGAGCACTTGAGCGAGCGAGTCGTGCCGGGTCTGCTGGTGGGCGGCATCGACTTCGTCCACCACGCCCTTTGCGTTGTGGGGAAGGAGGGACTCCATGAACTGATGGTTCCCCTCGAGAAGAAGCTCTTGCGCGAGCCACAAAGTGTTTTTGGCGTCGTCGTCTCCCGCGGAATCCACCAGACCTGGACCCGGATGAACGCCAAGACGTTCGACCACTATCGCCCCTTCTGCCACGACGGCGACCGGTTGGGCTACCAGTCCTGGAAGAACCTCGAGAACTTGTACCAGAGGTTTACCATGGACAACGACCCAAACATACTCGATCTGTTCCACAATTGGGTCGCGGCCAAGGAGGGACGAATCGACCTTTTGGCGGCGAGCATGTGGAACGATGACCGCTGGGATGACATTGAACTGGCGGTACACCCGCCGCGGGCGGACTGGTGGAAGGGCGTCAAACATCATTGGAATTCGATGGCTGTGGGATTCCAAGTGCTTGCCGATCCGGGGATACTGGCGGACAAGGAGTGAGGGAATAGCGGGTGTGGCATGGCGCGACTGATTGATGTCAGGGCGCTATATTTAGCGTTTGTGTTGAGCGATTGCGAGGAATACTCAGCGTAGCATTTTTGAATAAGATTCTCAGCTCTGGAATCAAGGATTTTGTTGTTGTCAGTGACTGCCTAGACATCTCGTCCGTTCGACGACAGGACGAGTTCGTCCGATCAATGACACCGGATGGCAGTCATACCGTGCGTGACGGCGATATTGCACACTGTAACACTGTACCACGTCACGACACTGGCGACACCATAACACAAATCGAATCGCTCATAAATATCAAGCCGATACCCAAGACTTTCACGTCTGTCTCTGATTGAGCTTTCATTCCTTTTGGTTGGCTTTTGCTCCTTTTACGCTTTGCTGTCTCGTGCGCTGTGGAGAACGCCTCTGCAGCACAGTTCGAAAAATTCGCTCGCCTTCCGGTTTAAGCTCCGACGATTTTGACTCTTTGAGTTTGCCCCTGTCGCTTTGCTCATTGCCAGCGGCCAGCAGCAGCCCACAGAACCCTCTTCCATCAGAGACGTGACAGCAGCAGCAAACAACCTCACGTCCACGCTTGAAGCGCCGCAGATCGCAAGAAGTGCCCGCGGCCATGGCTGTCACACAACTGAGCCTCCCGTCGCTGGACAGGATCGCCTCCGGCAAGGTGCGCGACCTGTTCGCGCTGCCGGACCCGGACCGGCTCCTCTTCGTCGCCTCGGACCGGCTGTCGGCGTTTGACGTGGTCATGAAGAACGGCATCCCCAACAAGGGCGCCATCCTGACGCTCACGTCGGCGCACTGGTTCCGCGTCCTGGCCGAGCGCATCCCCGGCCTGCGCACCCACTTCATCAGCCTCGACGTGCCCGCCGGCGTCGTCACCGCCGGCGAGGCCGCCGCCCTGCGCAACCGCAGCATGCAGGTCCGCAAGCTGCAGGTCATCAAGATCGAGGCCATTGTGCGCGGCTACCTCACCGGCAGCGCCTGGAAGGAGTACCAGGCCAAGGGCACCGTCCACGGGCTGGCCATGCCCGCCGGCATGCAGCTGTCGCAAAAGTTCCCCCAGGCCATCTACACGCCCAGCACCAAGGCCGACCTGGGCGCCCACGACGAGAACATCCACCCGGATGACGCCTGGAAGGAGATTGGCGACAAGGAGACGGCGCGCCAGGTCCAGGAGCTGTCGCTCAAGATCTACAACGCTGCCGCCGCCTACGCCGAGGAGCGCGGCATCATCATCGCCGACACCAAGTTCGAGTTCGCCAAGGACGCCGACGGCAACGTCTACCTGGTCGACGAGGTGCTGACGCCCGATTCGTCGCGCTTCTGGCCCAAGGACTCGTACGAGCTGGGCAAGGAGGCCGACAGCTTCGACAAGCAGTTCATCCGCAACTGGCTCATCCGTGAGGGGCTCAAGGGCAAGGAGGGCGTCGAGGTGCCGCAGGACATTTGCGCGGCTACCGAGGAGAAGTACAAGGACGTCTTTTTCAGGCTGACGGGCAAGAAGTTTGAAGATGCCATTGCAAACTAGATGATTATATGCAGACTATATATCCAACGGTTGGAAAGCTATTTCAAGCTGAAGCAGTTCCCGATGCTCAATGCTGATCCCTGTCTATGAGGCCAAATCCCTGGCTTTTTTGATGCGATAAGCCCCTGTTGAAACCCTTTCTCAGAGTATGCGTCCAATCAAACAATCTTCTCAATAGTCAGGTTACGCCGTTTATGAGATGGCCTTCTTAATCCTACGAATGGTCAGCGGTTGGTGCATACCACGAGATTGGAGCGCCTTACCTCCTAATGCCTTCAGTCACAATGTCCGGGCTCTGCGTATACACCATGCGGAACCATCCTGGCTTGAGTGAGTGTTCTTCCCGGGGATGCAGGAATACGCCAGCCTCCCTCAGCTTCTTGGCCAAGGCAAACTCGCTATTCGGCTCACCGTCGAGATCCTCCGGCAGGTGCCGCGAGAGGTCGATCCAGACGAAGAACCCGGCATTGCTTCCCGGCAGGTAGTCGATGCCGACATCGCGAAGCCCCTGCGTCGCATGCTTGTATGCCGCGGCAAGCTTTGTGCGCGACGACTCGACGAACTCGCGACACCATTTGCGATCCTCGAGCATGGCAGCACCAATGGCTAAGCTTGGCCCTGCAGGGTTGTGGAAGCGCATTACGCCCGTGATGGCTGACTCGACGGCCTTGCTGCGGGTGATGATGGCGCCGATACGCAGACCGGCTGAGCCAAAGTCCTTGCTGAAGCCGTAGGTGACGTGCAGACGTTCCGTATCGATGATGCCAGCCGGGTCGATGGCGAGGGCTGACGTAAAAGGCACAGCATCGGATTCGCCCGAGTCGAAGATGGAGCAGGCATAGATCTCGTCGCTGATGAGGTGGATCTGCTTCTTTTGGCAGAACTTCATGAGCGCGATGAGCGTCTCCCTGGGATAGCATTTCCCTGTCTCGAATGGTCAGAACGTTCTCGCCAAGCGGCTCCGGCAGGACGGGAGGAGTTACCAAGCGGATTGTGAGGGTTGACGATGAGGATCGCTCTAATGGTGACACCTTCGGCCTCCGACCGAGCCAAGGCCTCCTCAAACTTGTCGACCACATCTTCGTCGAAGCAATTCTCGGCGTGGGTGTCGGCATAGACGATCTTGACCTCGGCTCTATTGCCAAAATCGAGCTCGAATCGCCCGTAGACGGGCCGGCTCGTGAGGATGCCGTCGCCTGGGTCAGCCAGGCCCCAGGCCAGGATCTCATGCAATGGGGTAGCCGAGCCGGTGACTTGGATGTGTTCGGCGGTGATGGGCTTGTGCGGCTTGAGATACTCGTTGAGATGCACGGCCAGGGCAGCGGGGAAACGCGACCCGCCTGCGGTGCTGAAGCCGTAGGTGAACTGCTGCGACTCGAATTTGACCTGGTTTGCATGAGCCGACCTGCATCTTGCTTGATCTTGCTTGCATTGGCAAGAATTCGACTTACAGCGCTGTTGACGAAATCCTCTACTTGACGAATAATGAGTTTCTGAGTGGGAGCGTTAGAATTGACTACTTTTCGAAATGAGAGGGGTTCGGGGTGCTTGCATTCTCGGCCGTCCCGAATGAGATGAGGCCATCGGGGTTCGTGTCCGGATCGTACGTCTGCTGCGGCGCGAACCGCCACGGGAGCTTCTGCTTAGCAATGCTGGCCGCGCTGCGTTTAGACAAGTACGATTCCATCGCGACTGGATGCAGGTGATGAGCACTGATCAGGCGCGAAGGAATGACGATGGGTTCTCCCGACGATGAGGAGACGGATTGGGGAGAAATGTATGTAGAGGGCAGAAAGTCTGCATCCAATGCGCCCTTGGTACCTGAATGGAAACCTGCTCATCGGCGCAGTCGCAATTAGCAGCTCGTTGCCGGTGCCTGGGCCATCCAAGTGCCTTACACCGTTTTCTCGTTGCACCAGGGATTCGGATGACTCATTGCCTCCTGCAACATGCACCCACGGCAGTGGACCGGCACTGGTCAAATCGCTGTGAGTCGTCTGCTCTAGGTTGCAGGGGGCGCCCTCCACGTACATGGCGATATCGCGTCCCAATCAGACGTTGTTTGTTTCTTCCTGCAACCCATTGCGCATTTGTCATGTAAGTTGTGATCTTCGATTGGTAGTGGTCGTCGGAGTAGCCTTGAATTTTACCTACGCGGATGACCAACCGTGAAAGCACGATAAGTAAGTAGCTGTCAGGCTGGAGGCAATGGAAGCTATCGTTGCAGGCACTATAGCGTAGGAAAATTGTAGACTATGTGGTAGTCCCTCGAAACATGTTTGGATGCCTTTAGGAAAATGAGCGGATGGCCCGGAAATGACTGGGGTCTAGAGACGACATCGGCGCCACGAGCGCGTGCAATACCGTGGTCGTAGTCGATGCTTCCCAATCCCATTCTCAAACGCCACCTAAAAGCTCTTTCCGAAGACTAAACTGTCTCTTATGTCATTCGGTGTGCAATTTAGTCACTTCTTAATTGTTGCCTGCCACCGCTCAATTCTGTCCCATCGATGTCGCCAAGTATCATTACCACATTTCATCCGCTCCTGGTATGCAAATGTTGAGGCACGGAGGAGACTCCAGGAGGTAACAAAACTGTGTAGCCCTCGAGTCGACGAAGCATTTCGGAGCCTTTTCTAGTAGACCTGAACGATCCATGTTCTCGTGCAGCGCTTGTAGCACGGGTCTCAGCTACGGACCACCACACCACTTACAGTAGCAGGCACTTGGTGACTAACATCGAGGTGCCATAGACCATGAATCCGGAGAAGAATGGGTGATAGAGAGCCGGAAAGCATCTGTAATTTATTGCGCAGCGCGTCATAAGCGCTCCTCCTGCTGGTCTCGTTGACCCGTAAACGACGAGGCGGAAAGGACGAAGCCAGTCATGGCTAACATGACATGGCAGGTAACAGGAACACATCGGACGAGAAGATGAACCAGTGCAGGAATAGATCCCAGCGTTTGCCATGCTCAATGTTTCCTATAGCCTTGCGCTGTTTGGAGCAGTGCCAGAGCTCAGTGGCCTCAGGCCTCAGGCAGTCAGTGAGTGCCGAACGCGTAGCCCCCTACGGCCACCGCCTGTTCAGTGCAGCCGGTGCCCTGGGCCACATCCGTGAGCGAACAACTACCCAGACGCGTCTCAGCGCGTGACCCTCGCAGTGTTCTTTCACTTACGCCCTCATTCTGCGCCTCCTCTCCAAACCGACACTTTACTCCAACATCGATCCTTCGCCCCCGACCTCCCCGGCGCAGGCCCCCTTATCCGCGTCTCCTTCCAACACAAGACGAACTACTTACAACAAGCCTTCTGTCATTCGTTTGAACCTCATATTTGCGCGCGAAAGAGGCCGGCCCTCTCCTGGTCGCCATGTTTTACAGCCACGAGAGTAGGTCAATCCCTCCGCAGCGTGAATCCGTTCAAGGCTAACTTTTCTCCTAGTCCTTTGCAACAGCCAGTATGGCGTCGCGACGATCTGGTATTTGAACCCTTGTCTCTACGATAGTATCCCTTTGAGCCTGTGCTGACATGTCCAGGCTTGCCGCAACGGTGGCCAAGGGCAACGCGGTTGGCAAAGGCGGCCTGCGCCCTTTGACCAGAAAGGCCGTGCAAGAAGTCAACGTCCCCAAAGCGTGCGCGACCATCATCGACCCGGGAGCGCCCCTTGCGCTGCGTCTGCAGAGCAGTCTTCTCTTTGGAGTCTCGCGCGTGTTTGCCCAGCAGTGCACCTACGTCCTCTCCGACGCCGAGAAGATTCAGTCCGACATGATGACCTTCTTCCGCGTCCTCCAGACCAGCGAGCTTGACCCGCAGGCTGGCAAGACAAAGTAGGTTCCCTGTTTCGAATTCTCTTCAATATGTGCAGAAGTGCGACGAAAGGCTGACCTGCCCAAGGCGCCACAACATCGTGCTCGAGGACGACCCATCCTTTGACCTCTTCAATGCACTGCCCAACTTGGACTTTCTTCGCGGAAGCGTGGATAATCTCTTTGGAGTGCCCAGCCAAGGATCCACGAACAAGTACTCGCAGATGACTCCGCGCCGTCAGAGCCAGTCCAGCCTGTCGTCACTCAGCAACCCGGCTCTGCTGCCGTTCGACCTCCCATCCTCTCTCTGCGCCGGCAGCTTTCATCTTCCCTCCGAGTTTGGACATCAAGATTCGCCTCTGGCAGGCAAAAGTCGCGAGCAAGACAACATGCCAGAATTCATGCCCTTCGGAGACGACGACTTGGACCCCATCCCCAATGTCAGCCTCGATTTCGACGGCGATGGCAACCTCCTAGGTATCTTTGACCAAGAGCCCGAGCTACCTCCTCTTCCTGAATTTCCAGGAGACGAGTTGCAGCTAGATCAAGGCAACGCGGGTGTAGTTGGCGAACCCGAGGTGCAACCACTTCCCGCAGCCGGAGGCGACCCGGAGTTCGGCATGGGTGAAGGCGCACTCCCAAACGACGGGCCGTCCGTTGCGCGTCTGGCAACCGAACAACCCACCGAATCATATGCCAAAACGTCTCAGACCACTGAGACTGAGGAGGTATCTGCCCACAACCGACACATTCGACGAAAACCCTTCTCAATGATCGACAAAACCGCCCACATTCCTCGACAGGACATTCGCAACTGGGATGCCAACTACGCGGAGACCATGGGACGCGAAACGAGCCGCAAACGCCAGAGGACAGTCAACCAGACCCAGGCCAGAAAGAACGCCCTTGCCTTGATCTACGGCAATAGAATTGCCAACGTCGGTCTCGTCCAGGGCATATATGGCATCACTCACCCTTTGGCGGAGGAGTTCGCTGGCCGCACGCTCGAAGCTCACCTTCACGGACTCGATCCCTCGGACCTTGAGCCCGATGCAGTCAAGCAGAGAGGCCGCCGACGCAAGTCGCCTGAGGCCTTTGTCGAGGAGACCGCCGAGGAGGAAGGACATCGCAACGTTCGTCCACGCATTGAAGAAGACGCCGAGCTGGGCCGCGGTAACATGAACGACGACGGCGAGGCGATGATCTTTGCCGATGACACCGCCCCTGAGATGGGCCTCGACCCGGCTGTGCCCTTGGAAGAGCGCCATTCTTCCTCGATCATGCCGTGGCTTCGTTCTGCCTCGGTCGCCCACGGCCATGGAAGCACTCAGAAGCCCGCGCCCTCTCCCAGCCCTCTGCACGGCCGCGGCAGCGTCCTCGGCTCCATCGAGCGACGCAGCGATCCAGCCGAGCATCCCTTCGGGCCCGCTGGTATGGGCTCGGCGGACTCGTCCATCGACTTTCGTGGCGACATCAGTGCCCTCGACTTCAACCGCGGCAACGACACTCAGGCGTCGCACGCCGACGGCCTCGACATTGCAAGCCAGGAGTTCCTGACTTACGCCACCGCGCAGGCCGTGGAGAAGGGCACAACCCGGGATGCAGACAACGACGACGGCAGTGACGACGAGCGACGCTGGGTTTCGTTCGAAGACCTCGCACGCCCGGGCTCGCACAGCAAGGGCATCGCCGCGCAGGCATTCCTCCACGTGCTCTCACTGGCCACCAAGGGTGTCGTGGCGGTGCAGCAGGACGGCACGGAGGAGAAGCAGCCGTTTGGGACCATTCATATTGGCGTTCCAGTCCAGCGAGCGAGGGAAGAGTCTCTCGACGAGCTCCTCTAACAGCCATCAGTTATTTTCAGTTTTTCTTTGCAGCAGCATCATCATCAGCGGGCCTTGAAACTTTCGATCGACTAGCATTTTGGAGCGGAAGCGAACATCTCCGGCGCAGGGGTAACGAAAGAAGCATCGGAACGTCTCGACGACATGAATTGCAATGGCATTTGCGGCGTTGAGGGATACTTCGACCCTATTTCATCGAGGATATGGGCTAAAGGGGAATACGCGTTATGGGATTGCTATCATCAGATCCAACGGCCATGTGTGCCAACAGGACGGAAATTTGCTAGGAGGACTTATCCAATGGGTTGTCAATGGACCGTGTTGATAGGTTCGTCAGGCAGGCAGCAAAGAGATATCAAGTAGACAAGAGACCATACAAAAATTGGAGCGGACTGAGAACATGCGTGATTCGGTCAGGACATTAATGGCTAGTACATTATCTGGCATCTGGCATTATCCATTCGTAATTCGTACACTGCTGTGGCCTCGCCGCTCATGCAGCGAATGCATCGTCCTCGTCAACAGCACCCTCGCGGTCCTCGAACTGCATGTACTCTGTATCAGCAGCGCTGTCTCCGATGACCAGATCCCAAGCCTGTCTGACAGACACGAGCAGAGAGTCATCGAACGCGAGGTGGGGCGGAGGCGGGCTGAAGGAGCCCGTCGTCTTGTCTACGCTGCAGGCGCCTGTGCCGCCTCGCTGCTCGTAGCTGAGACGGTATAGGCACTTGGACTGATCTTGACCAGGGGAGAGAGTCTCGAGGAACGATGAGAGCGCAGATTCGAGCAACTCCTTTGATGAAGAATCTGATATGGTACTGAGATACACGATACCTGGAGCAACTTTTCGTCAGCAACTTGTATGCAGGTATAATTCATGTGACAAAAAAAGTGCAGTAGTGTGCCGATCAGGTTGTCAGAGTTTGATCGTCATTGTTATTCAGACAATGTAGATAAGTATTCGTTTGGATGATTCATCCTAGCACAAAATTGGGATCAAGAGAAAGGGGGGCGGTACTCACTTTGTCCACTAGGGCACTCCCCGGTGTCACTTGAGTGTACAGAGGCGTACACAGGGTGATCCGACGCTGAGCCGTCGGACCTCTTGACCGATCCTGGAGGAAAGGCCACGAGCGAGACGCATGGTGTTGGGGCACCTTCGACGACTGCTTCGAACATGGCCGGCATACTCGATTCAACAACAGCGGTGAGACGGCAAAGGTTGAAGCAGTCCGCTGCGGGTGGTGTCGAGTCCTTGACGAGGGTTCTTGACTTGACGACCACGTCGTTGGTGAGTGTGACCTCGAGCTCCTCGTGATCCGCACTTTGCGTGGCCGGCATGGCCTGCACCGCAGATATGCCAGTGCCGAGCATGTATACGGCACCACCGACCGCGGCGGCGCGGCAGCCCACTTGGGCAATCTCGGAGAGCCCTCCCCACTTTGGGTAGACAGCAGCGAAGCCAGTGCCAAACACTCCCATCGAGGTCAGGTGCCGGTTGATCGCGGTCAATCCATCGGCGACTGATACCCTCCCATCCAGGCTGAGCGTGAGGGTGATGACGTAGGACTGGAGGTCGCGGTCGAGTTTGAACTCGGACTCGAGGAACCCCGCCAAGCCATCGTTCGCCTTTGGCTTCCAAATCTCCGCATGCGACTCCGACTCAAAGTCGAGAACGAACTTGAGGAACTTCATCAGGGCACGCTTCGACCGTGCCGGGATCGTCTTGTTGGCGAACACATCCTCTCGCGTGGACGGTATTCGACTCAGAGTCGCGGACGCTGCGGGATCGGAAGCTGGTCGGTAGATGAAGAACGACCCGACGGCCAGAAACTCAATCTGGCGAAAGGCTTTGGAGGAGACGAGCTGGGAGAGGAGTTCGGACCGCGCATGGATGAGTTGAGGCGCAAGCGCAAGGCTGTAGGCGCGAGGGAAGGACAGCCCGTCGGCCGCCTTGCTCACTTGCGCGCCGGCAAACACGCCATCTGCGTTCCCCGATGCGAATCTCTCGGCCCATTCGTCGGCCTCCTGCAGACTCAAGGCAGCCTCGGGGCCGCCATAGTAGTCGTTGGGATCGACGTGGAGTATGTTTTTTCCCGACCGTGACAGAGCTCTTCAGCGCGCGAGCCTGCGTCAGTCAGAGGGAGCGAGACCAAGCCAATGGAATCCGTGCTTACAGGGCGAGAAGGGACTGTGGTAGCCCAGTGCCGCTGATCACTACATCCCACTTTGTGTCTGAGAGGGATTCCATGGTGGTGGTTGTGAGGGGATGGGGAAGAGGAAAGAAAAAAAGAGCGGAGTTTTGCTCACTCTCGGAGAGCTTGTTTTTGCAGCACCGACGGGATGGGACCTCTGGTGGGGGGACTGCAAAATTGTTAGTGCTGGGGTGGGTCGGCCCATTTCAACCACACCAGGCCTGCTCGCGCCAAATTTGCTCTTTCTCCTTCAACCCGCTCCATCATTCTCGCGGTGTCCTGAGTGCCATTGGCACGTGGCACCGCGGGTTCAATAGTTTTACTATTTGCGAGCGGTAGATCGAGTCGTCTGCCGGTATCTACTGCCCTAGAATAACGTCTGAAAGGGTAGTTCGAATGGTTGACACATGCCTATCGCCGACCGCAGTGGGATCTGCGTGGGGTGAACAAGCGAATTGGATGCCCTCCGATTTTTGGAACCGCATCCTCGCTTCAAAGTGACATTTCAATGAAGTAATCAGGTCATGATGGTGTTACAATTGTTTCTTGGGTATCATCATTCATCCGCTATTGACCTATAGCGGCCGCGACGTCTTTCCACCGCCTCGCGGCCCAGTCGAAGAGCTGTTTTGACCGGAGATGCTTGGGGCTCAGGATGACGCCGCCGTGTTTGGAGATGGACAGGATCTTCGTAGCTCCGCCACTGCAGTCAACCACCATTGTGACACTCTCGTCGCACAAAGTCTCCTCCAGCAGGTCCGGGTCTACCAGCAGCCAGTACTTCCCATCTGTCGGCCGATCTGTTTCCTTGCCCGTGAAGACGGCCGCTGTGCAGGCTACGGGCATGCCATTGATCGTCAGGGCCTTGGGGTCCTTCTTCGAGCATATGACTAGCTCTCTGTCGCTGTCGAAGCGCGCTTGTGGGATCTTGGTGTCGCGCAAGGCGGCGACCGTGGCAGCCCAGGCCGCGTCGAACGGGTTTCCGTCCAACGAGATGAAGAAAATGTCGATGTAGAGCACCCAGTACGCAACGACGTACTTGTCGGCGTTGCCCGCATCGCCTTCCTCGGCTCCGTCTTGGTCCATGGCATCCTCGTCCGCGACCATCTGCTCAGAGGGTTTGGTATGCCATATCCGCAGGTCGTCCGCGTCAATGAGCTTGGAGCTGTGGAGCAAAGAGTATATCCTCGTGCTCAGGGTTTGCGCCAGCGTTGTCGGAGGGCCGCCGGGGAGGAATTGCGGTGCAGATCCGGTGGCAAGCTCGATGTTCGGCACCAGCAGGTCATAGTCCTTGAGCTCCGTCTCGGTATTCGATGCTCTGTGATTGGGGATGTTGGATGTGAGGATCGTCTCGCCGCGGACGCCGCAGATGACCGTGGTGTCGCCCATGCGCACAACTGCACTTCCGTGTGCATGCGACAAGCTTGAGAGGTTTATGGTCGGCGTCCGAACTTCTTGAGGGGCGCGGCCGTTACTCCGGGCGGGAGGCACATCGTCGTTGGAAGGCTCGAGGTTGGCGAGCAGGTAGGGATGCGGGGAGAGCTTGGCAAAGGTGGCACGGGGAAGTCCCGCGTCGGATGCCATGATGCGTTGATGTGCTTGACTGTTCCTGCCGATCCTGCGACTTCGAGACAGCGTGGGCGCGGTGGTGTGGTGTAACTGAAGCCCGCTGCTGGATGGCGCTTTTGATGGTGTTTGACGGAAAACTTGGGCGCAGCCTTGCTTGGTGGGCCGGCGCTGCCAATGAAGTTGGGCGGGGCGCAAGGCTGGGAGAGCCCAACCTAGCTTCGACTCACTCCACATTGGCCGTACAATTCCCTCTCGACCGCAAACAAAAAAACCGAGTGAACCTTCAACGTGCACCAGGAGCAGAGGCTTGCGGTTTCAAGGTTCATTACGAAGGATCAATACAGGGAGTTGCCTAGGGACACGACAGGCCGCAGGTAATGGTCCGCGTCTCGTTTCAAACTTAAAGATTCAAGAATTGCCACTGCCAGACTCTGACAGTTGGCGACGATGCCCTCATTCGCCAATTGCTGCCGTGGCCGGTCGTTTAACACCATGATTCCTTCGTGCAGACACCAATTGGTCCGGAGATAGTTACCGCAAGACAAGGAGCCGGGGTGCAGCACCGGAGCCGATGCGGACCACGGTCGATGCAGACGCAAGGCTGGAACAGGTGGCCGCCGCGAATGTAACGCTGTGTTGGCTTCAAGTATCGCGATCGAGCCAGTGCAACGCCATCCTTCGGCTGCGGATGGCGAGGTCAGGGCGAGGGAAGCGGCTTGAGGTGGTGGACGGCGACAGGGCAGCAACTGAAGGACGGGCCCTGGACGCATCAACAGGGCATCAGCGCCACAAGTACTGGAACCTAGCAGCGTGCGGGCGACACGGCGGCGGCGGCGGGCACCAACACAGCACGGGCTGGGGCCAGCAGCCAGCCCCGGGCACCAGACCAAACAGCGGGCGAATCAGCGGGCGGCCTTTAGCGCCCGTCCCGCCTGGGCCACGGGCCGCCAGCTCCGCGGGCGAATCAGCACCCGCAGATGGCCATCTCCCGCCGCCAACGGCCCCCGAGGCGCTGCAGCTGTCCCCTGTCTGGCTTCCCCAGTGGTCAAGCTTGCGTCGTCCTCCATCTTGCTCCTTGCAGCATCACATCGTCAGCGTGCCGCAAGTATTGGAGGCGTCCTTCTCGCGGCGTTTATTCGCACTCGTTATTTGGTCATCGTCTCAGAAATTCAAATCACATCTGCCGGCTCATATGTGCTCCCAGTCACTACGCCCAGCGGTAAAAACGGGCGCCTAGTAGCTTCAACACCAAGCTGGACGTGGTGATGATGCCGCTTGCCAAAGGACAAAAGTCGCCGGCCTTGGGCTCCTTGAAGACCCCGAGGCCCGGCTGCTGCCGTACGCCGATCACATTTAGTCAAGTTTATGTGCTGATCTCACCGTGAGAACAGGTGCGAGACGCCACGACCTTTCCCCAGCGAGGCGTGTGGCCCTGCTTGCTGGCTGCATGTCACCCACACCAACGCCGCTGCCCACCACGCCAGCTCATCCAGTCCCTGGCCTCTCCGCGGTGTGACAATTCCTCCCCTGCTCTGCGGCCGCACCCCGCAGGCGGGCCAATCTCGAGGCCAGGTCTGCCGCCCGGCCGGGTTCGCACCCATCTTCTCGCGCCAGCCCGCAAGCCCTCCCGTTTCCATCACCAAGGAGCTCATGATTCTGCTGAGCTTTCCCGCTCGGGAAGAGTCTATTCCTCGCGAAGACGACCTTGTCTCCTTCCAGCAATCTCGCATACCAAGTGTCTCGGCGCCCCTGTCGCGACTGCATCCGTCGTCACATCACACCTGGCGAGCTTTATATCCCCGCGCGCGGCCGCCATCCGAACCCCACCGCCGTGACTTCGTCCGTCAACGACCCTTTGCTTCGTGCTGCCGCTTCGATGCGCGACTTGTCTGCAGCTGCTGTCACCATATCCTGTCCTCTGCGTTGCTGAGTCGAGAGATCAGGCATCTCTCATCCGAACGTAGTTGCGAACATCCCGTCTCTACCGCCCCATCCCGCTGCTTCTACCAGCTCATCGACGTGACACAAAGTGGCTGGCTCCGTTGCTTCCATCCCCAGTAATACACCAATATCCCCCAGCGCAGACGTCTTTCCCACCACTCTCACCACACATGTCATCCTGAGCGACAGCCTCACGCGATCCGTCGCAATCTAACCCTTAATCGAGAACCTTGGCCGCGGTCGCTGGACGACATGGCTCCCAACCTGCAACCCGCCATCCGGGCCATGGCTGCCGATGCAGGGCAGACCATCTCGAAGCTGTTCAGGCGCATCAACATCCCTCTCACGGCAACAAGCCCTCCGGGTCTCGTCCAGGCCAACGTTGTCGACCCGTGGTCACAGTCTGGGAAGTATGCTCTGGGCTGGACATACTTCGCTCTCGCCATGATGGCGTGCGTCATCGTTGTCCGAGTCTGGCACTACTGGCAGGACAAAATCCGTCAAGCCATTTACAAGCAGGAGGTGGAAGACTATTATCGAAATATGTACAGCATGGACACGGACTATGCGACGGCGCTGCACTCGGGGCAGGCAGGGCAGTTCTTTCCAGAAGGCGACGGCTTGGGATATAAACAATTCCGGCCAAAGGCACACTTCTCGTCGGTGGGCGTTGTCAACGACACCCTGGCTCTCTTCCGGTGGCTCTTCTATCGGCCGATTCCCGACATCGTTATCGGGAAGCACAGATTCACCTTCTCTTCGCTCGCCGTGCTCATGTGCGCATTCGTCGCCATCGTCTTCGTCGCTCTCTATTGCTTCCTTCAGCAGCCGCTGTTCTGGCAAAGCATTCGATTTGGATCGCCACCAGTGGCCATCCGATCTGGCATGATTGCGGTGGCCATGACGCCTTGGATCATTGCGACAAGCATGAAGGCAAACGTGTTGACCATGTTGATTGGCATCGGCCCGGAGCGGCTCAATGTCTTTCATCGATGGCTCGGCTACCTGTGCCTTTTCCTTTCGCTCGTTCACATGATACCCTTCTATATTCAGCCCGTGTGGGAAGATGGCGGCATGACAGTCTTCAATCAGCTCTTTCCGGATGGAAGCGGGATGATTTACGGCACAGGCATTGCATGCATAGTGCCGCTCATCTGGCTCTGCGTTGCCTCGCTGCCTTTCATTAGGAGAATCGCGTACGAAGTGTTCGTCATCCTGCACATTCCTGCCGGCATCGTCTACGTCGGCCTCTTGTTCTGGCACACCAAAAACTACCTCATGTCGTGGAGCTACCTGTACGCCACAGTCGGCATCTGGGCTGTCTGCTACCTGATGCGATTCTTCAAGCTCAACTGGACCAAACCTTGGCGCATGGCGTTTATGGTCGGCGATGAGGCAGCCATTACTCTCATGTCAGAAAATGCCATCAAGATCACGATCCCCACGCAGATGCGCTGGAAGCCTGGGCAGTACGTTTACCTGCGCATGCCCGGGATCTCGCTCCTCGACAATCATCCTTTCACGATTTCGTCCCTCTGCAGCGAGGACTTTCCGTCCGAGTATGGCGAGACCTATCGCGACTGCGTCCTTGTCTTCAAACCCTACCGCGGTTTTACCAAGAAGGTGCTGGAAACCGCTCTCGCCAAGGGACCGTTCCACACGTATCGAGCTTTTCTGGACGGCCCGTACGGGGGCATGCGCCGGGATCTCGCGGCGTTTGATACCTGCATACTCATTGCGGGAGGAAGTGGCATTACCTCACTCATGTCGCAGCTTCTGAATCTCATCAAGCGAATGCGAGACGGGAAAGCCATCACACGCAAGGTCGTGGTCGTTTGGGCCGTGAAGCGGTTCGAGGCACTGGACTGGTTCAAGGAGGAGATGCGTATTTGCCAGGAGTCGGCGCCTCCAGAGAGCGTCACCTGCAAATTCTTCCTGACTTCAGCGGTGAGGCATCGTCCGGCGGCAGGGATGACAGCCCCAATCAGTGGGCAAAACAGGGCGCTCAACCACATGCTTCACGACAAGCTTGATGGCTTCGTCGCCGGCATCGCCTCGAAGCGAAATTCTGCCCTTATTCAGGCCGAAGCTCAGGGCGATCCGGACCGTGAGCGGGAACTGCGCGCCGAGGATGAGGATCGCATCACGGCGCTGCCACACCAAAGATATCTTCAGCCGCACCAGCACGCGCCGCAGTCTAGAACTCACTCGGTTGCCGAAGACACGCTGCGCGTCGGCCCGAACGGCTATCCAGAGGACAAGAAGCGAGCCATGGGCGATGACGAAACTGAGTTTCACTTTCCTCCAGTCAACAAGGAGCAGCCTCACTTCAACTACGCTCCGGCCTCGCCCCGGAAGCTGCCCCAAGAAACCCCTCAAGATGACGAGTCGTTACCCGTACGCGCCCCGGAGCTCGCTCACCTGCGGCGATCTAACATCCCCGACCCATCCAGACAACGCCCCGTTTCCACCCTCGGCCCGCCAGCCGGTTTCGACTTTGGCTTCCCCGAGACGCCGACGGAGTTCCAGAAGAACCTGATGCGCTCTGCCTTCCCGATCCCCCTCCAGATGGACGGTGGCTGGACCATCGAATATGGGCGCCCCCAGCTCGGCCACATGCTCAAGGAGTGGGCGACGGGCGGCACAGACGGGCGTGGCATCCTGGGTCGGCGGACTGCCGTATTTGTCTGCGGGCCGCCGGCGATGCGCGTGGGCGTCGCAAACACAGTCGCAAGGCTGCAGGCAGAGATCTGGGGCGATGATGAGCTAGAGGAGATTTTCCTGCACACGGAGAACTATGCCTTATAACGGACCCGACAGGGGAAGAGGGGATGGTAGACTTACAAGCTCGATGCTGTAACTAATTGTACATAAGCCTGAACGATGAACGACCAGCGAACGGGGGTGTTTGTGGTTTTTGATACCATTTCTTTTCCAGTCGCACTTGGATATTTCCCTACTGTTAGCTGACTTGAATGAAGTGTCACGTATAAAGTGACATGGCAAGCGATATGAGCTTGGAGCTTGAATACATGAGGTTGTGCTGAGCTACCGCCATCAACGATAGCCGCGACCTCAATCGAACGACCAAGAAGCACGCCCGCCAACCGACAATTATTGGAGTAGACGGAAACCCGCATGCAGCATCAAGGTGACGTATTACACGTTGGTCGCGTAATCGGTGGGGTGACTGTGCGTTCGCAATGCCAAACCATCCGAGGCGCGATAGGGAACCTTGATGGACACCGGCACATCACGGTGCCGCCATCAAACCGCAAAGGTACACACGGTCATCTTTGCTCCGGTCCAAGTCCGCTTTGAATGCTTTGAACGATCCTCTCCTTTGTACTTTATTCTTTTCCTCTTCATTTCTGTAGCTCTCTGCTTCTTCTTACCTCTGTCTGACCAGCTTGTCGCGCCCAAACCCGCCGCCCGAGACACCGACAAAGCGGCCGTCGCATTCAGAGCTCCGATCAAGCAAGCCCGCTAATACGGTTTGCGCAAGAAACCGCACGACAATGGCAGACTTTCCCGAGCGCGACATGGAGAAGATTGCCAAGGGCTGGTCCATCGCCATGCTATACTCCAAGGAGCGCTTGAAGCGCGTGCACGCCTGGGAGGGCGACGAGCTGGAGCAGGCGATCCGCGAGGGCCGGCTCGTTCTCGAGACGGTGTGCCTGTTTATCCATGCCTGTGTCAAGCGCGGACAGTACAGGTATGGAATGCGCTGCAGGCTCTTTCACGACGATGATATCTGGTCAATTGGCTGACTGGAAGCGCGCAGGCTACCGTTTGAGTTTTGGCGGGTGCTGCATGCCGAGTACGGCATTGTCGTCTATCCGTCGGCTCTGACGGAGGACATTGAGGTGCAGGGGCTCGGCATAGACGTCACGTTTACGGAAGCGTATTGCGGTCACATAGGTAGGTCGTCATAAGCTGTGTGATTGGGGTAGCTTGAACTAACATATGCGCGCGTAGTCATGCTCGGCGGCTGCTCGGGATCGCATCCGCCACGATGTCCGATGGAGTTCATCCAGGAGCCCCCTCCTGTCTACCAGAAGTGACATGGACGGATGGGGGGGGCCACGACGAGTTACGTGCGATATGACGAACGCTTATTTTTCCTTTCCTGCTGCATTGGACCGGGGGCGCGTATGATGGAAGGGCGACATGGGAACGAGAGGGACAAAACGGGGGACCGGGCATAACTGGAGTTGGTCTCAACACACAATGATGTTTATACAAGCACCGCCAATTTACATACATGGCACACACACCTCTTCCTCTCCCCCTGCCTCACCGCGCGTCCTCATCGACCTTCACACCCCTGGCGCCATCGCGGTTCGCCCTCCAGACGCCCTCCTCGCCGTGGAACTCCTCGCGCTTCCAGACCTCGACCTTTTCCTTGCACAGCTCGAGGGCCTCCTCGCCGGCGCGCCAGGCGGCCTGCCTGTGCGGCGCCGACACGGCGATGAGGATGCTCTCCTCGGCGATGGGCACGGTGCCCAGGCGGTGCGTCATGGCGACGCCCTTGAGCCCGTGCTTGGCGCGCAGGTCCACGCAGATGGACAGCATGGTGCGCAGCGCGAGCTTGTTGTAGGCCGTGTACGTGAGCTCCTTGACGGGCTTGCCGGCGAAACTGTCGCGCGTTGTCCCTGTGGCGAGGGTAACGTGCGTGCGTGTGAGACAAGTGCGGGCTTGTGTGTGTGTGTCTTGATGCTTCGCTCGGCTTACCTGCGAAGAGGACGATGGCGCCGGCCTCGGGACTGCGCACGCGGTTCATCGTCTGTACTGCATCGAGGTGGTCCCTCGTTAGGGAGACGTAGCACCCCTCTTCGGTGAGTTCCCAAGTCTCATCTTGGGCGTTGTCCATGATGGACGGTGCTGTGCGCGTGCATTTGTAGATGCTAGGTTATCTCGGGCGACCCAAGCGGGGATCTCCGCCATTTGGACTGCGCTCCAGATGCAACGATTCGGGCCTAGCCGTCACACCCACACACACACACACACACACACAACTCTTGTCTCTCATCATTGCTCGTCGTGTAAGCCACCGCAATAGATGGTCCCTTGTACGACATCACCTTATTTTTCGCTTTGTTTCTTGAGATCACAATTGACAGGACACGGTTTCTCTGCTCGTCCGATCAGATACACAGATTGGCGGACATTGGCAAATAGAGGAATGGGGGTCACGGGAGCGATGAGAGCTGCGAGAGGCTTTAGATCAGTTGCTACGACTGGACGTGCTTTGACATGACTTCCATTTAGCTAGTCAGAGTGTAGTCCTCTTTTTGCGTTTTTTTATTTCTCGCTCTGGCAAGTGTCTTTTGTTGATGCAAGGTGGCTGGAGATAGCGGTGGCGGCAAACGAGTATGTCACAGACAGAACAATGGAACAAAACATGGTAAACCGACAGTTCCGAGCAGTTGAGAGGGCGAAATGCAAACGATGCATCTGAGACGCCCCCGCCCGTCACGCCGCCGCCTTCACGTTGCTGAGCCTCATGCGCCCCGCGCGGGCGAAGCCGTGTGAGGTATGGCTCGCATTGATACTGTCGTGGTCACCACGAAAACCACTCCGGAATGCGACTAGTATGCAGGCGCAAGTGGGCGGTCCGGCAGAGGCGCATTCGAATCTGGTTTTGCCCGTCTCGCTCCAAGGCTAATAGAACAACAGCGCAAGCGATAAGCCTCGGGCGGAGGGACGACGAGGGCCGGCATGGGCGCGACTACCGTGATGGCTTCGACGCATATGTCGGCAGTGCACTGCCCTCCTGCCACGTGCCTGCTGAGTTTCACGTCGTTCGCCGGTCCGTATAGAACACGTACGAATGACGTTATCCTTTGATTGAACCCCTAGTTCATGGCCCCATGCCACGTCCGTGTCAGTTGCAGGTGATCACGGCGCTTGTGGGGAGCTGGTCATGGAGTGCCGGGACTCGCCACGTCGGAAATGTCGGCTGTCGCTTCGAAGCCGTGACAATGTACTGCTCGCGCGAAATATGCCATCCTTCGTCTGCTGTGGAAGTGCCGTTCTCCACGAGTCCGCATCTTCCCATCATCACTTGGAGAAGCACGAGGTACGGGCTTGCGTTACACAGAAGGGAAACTGGAGAGCAAGATGGTGATGTATGGTTTGAGCTGTCACTCAATCTTAAATTCCACTGCGGGTAGTATACAGGCAAGGCTCTTTGCGGCACTGGAGGGAACAGGAATATGATGCAGCATTCGACGGTATTCCATAACGCACTTCACGGAGCCGGAACTCGCTGGCAGCTTGACGTTGATCCAAGTTCAGGAACAACGAGCCATCCTATCATCCAAGGCTGCGTCGTAGTAAACCTCACACTTGTTCTCATCCTTTGTGCACTGCATTTCACGGGCTGTTAGTACCACAAGTGTCTGTTTGACGGGCAACTGGACTTACCATGGAACCCCAGTTGCAGCTTGTGCCTTGTATGTCCGTCATGTTCACTTTCTGTTGCGTCTTTGGCCAGCTCCACCTGCTCCGGACCTCCTGTCTTGTGGTCACGAAGCACATCCTCGCAGGCGTGCTGCATACCTGGTGCGGGTCAATGCCATGACTCTAACGGACCTGCATGGCCTCTGATTATGGGTCTTGAACTTACGCCGTAACCGATGAACGTTTCGCAAGCAGCCTCCTCTGGAGGTTCGTTCTTGTCTTTGCTGCCCCAGAAGCTGAACCTCCATGGCCTCCACGGGTCCCAGGCCAAACCGGTTGAGCAAAGAGCAAGGCAACAAAAGAGTAGAGCGAGCCAAGCCCTCATTGTGGCGGCAGGCGATATGCCATCAACTCAGCTGTTCGTCTGTGACCCAGTCTGCCGCCTTGACGCGGAGACGTGACCCGAGTGGACGCGCAGGACGAGACACAGGGCGGGACTGGCCGTCCAATATATACCCTATGCCCATCTTGCGTCGATATGTGCCCCGCGCGCAATACATGCATAGCTGGCCCTCGGGTCTGACTCGTGTTTGTAACATGAAGGGGCTGTGAAACGAATGGTACGCCGACGGGCGACGTAGTTAGCGGGGAGGTGCCCACTGGAGCCGCTGTAGCAAGCACGCTGTAGCCACTGCGCCGGGGCCGCAGCGCGGACTATGCTGAGCTAATGGGACCTGGAACCTCCGCCTTGCAAGATTCCTCGACTTCTCTCCCTCACCTTTCCTCTCTTTGATCCTTGCACGCACCGCACGCACCGCACGTCACACCGCACCGCTGAAAATCGACGACGCAACGCACCTTCGAGGCGAGGCTGGCCTCGCCACTGTGCCTCTGCCCGCCACGCCGCCATCGCATCGCCCTGTTTCGCGATGCGCGAGGACAACCGCAGCAGATCCCCCCACCGAGGGCGGGATCACGACGCAGGACGAGACGGCGGCCTCGACGACCATCGACACGACCGCTACGGATCTCGGCAGGGTAAAGCCTTGGCCCGCGCCTGGTGTGGGAGTCCAGAGAGACATCCAGACGAAACTTAGTGTTCCCGGACATCGTTTGGAGCTTGAGAGCTAACTTGCCCACGGATCGGAGAGACCACCCTCGGTCTCCTCCAGGCCGCGACTACTACGACCAACGGGAGGCTCAGCCGCATCATTATCGCCAAGGGGACCATCCGGATAGGCGGCGTGAGCAGGATGAGGACTTTCGGGCCCGGAGGGCCGACGATGGCCGCCGCGCGAGGCGTGACTTGGAGGACAGGGGCTACCACGGCATGTACGACGACCAGCGAGAAGGCGATGACGACGGCAACTATAGAGGCCGCCACCGCTCGCGCGGACGATATCGCGATGAGGGATACGAATACTCCCGGCGGGATGGGTACGACCGCCGCCACGACGACGGATCGCGCGGTCGACATGGCCGGAGCCGATCCCACAGCAGGCCGAGGGATGCGGGACGGCCGACAGATACGATTAAACTTGAGGGGGTACCATTTGGCCTCTCGTCGGCTGCGGTGCGTGTCGAAGTGATGTCGCGGGCAGTGAAGCCGTTCTAATAGTCCGCAGCTCCGTGAAGGTCTCCTCGAGAGCTCCGTTGCCGCCAACTTTCCGCCAGTGGACGTGCGCGTCGTTTCATCAAAAGGTAGCCCCGAGCCCGCAATCGCATGCTACGCAATGCTGACTTTTGCCAAGGATACTGTCGCGCCTTTGTGCAGTTCCAGGCGGTCGACGACGCCGTAGTCTTTGTGAAAGAGCACTTCCCGAGTCTCCTAGTCACGTTGCCTCACCCAACTGATGAAGCACCAGACGGCAAGGTCGAGCTCTACCTGCACTTTGCCCGTAGCCAGGGCGACCTTGAACAGCTGGGCGGCCCGCCGCCAGCCATTGTGGGGGATTGGGTGTGCCCACAGGTATTCATTTCCCCTGTTCACCCCGTTCGTTTGCGAATTGCTGAACTCGCAAACTTCACCAGTGCACCTTTCGCAACTTTGCATCGCGTCGACAGTGCAGGGACTGCGGCTTCTCTCCGTCAGGTACACCTTCCCATCGATGTCCATCGAAAGCAAGGCCTGCAATCGATGAACAATGACTTACAGGTCCCTTCCAGGTACTCGTGGTCCGTATGGACGGACTGGTGAAGCCGACGTCGGCCGAGACGTTGACAAAAACTTGCAATTTCTCGTCGTCTTCCCGCTCCCCCCTAGCTTCAACGAAGAGAAGCTCGCTGCCGAGATGAAGCGGCTTGAGCTCGTCAAGGTAGAGAAGCCCAAGGGCGAGCCCCCCAAACTCAAGTCCACCGCGCCCTCTGTGGATGGAGCTGGATACGGCGCCCGCCAGGGTTCTCTGCACCGCGTCTTCTTGATGCGTGAGGTGGAGTCTGACATGAACCTTCGATATGGCTTTGCAGAGTTCTGGACTTTGTCCGACACGGCTGCCGCGCTGAAGAAGTTCCAGATGACGCGCGCCTTCGAGATCGCTGGTGTCGCGGTCAACATCGCCATGATCCACATGGGAGTTTTCGTGCCGGAGGAGCGAGAGGTGACGCCCGAGATCGCGTTTGAGTCCTTCCAGCCACTGTTCAATCCGGAGACTCGCATCCGATATCGCGACCGCGAACTCTACCCCAGCTCCAGAGTCGTTGCTGAAACTCCCCCCGACGATGGCACCACCAAGGTGGCCGCAGACGACAAGAGCGAGGCGTGGAAAATCGAAGCGTCGAAGAGCAAGAAGCGCAAGGCTGAGAGTGGCCTGGCAGACTCCGTCCCCAAGAAGAGCATTGCGATGGGACCCCAGATGGCCTTTTGGCAGCAACGCCATCAAGAGATACAAGGCATCCAGCCCGACGACAACAAAGCCGCACAGGAGGCAGCAGACGGCTCCAACCGGGCCGCGCCCATCAAATTCTCGTTGAAGCTGGGTGCCAACAACAAGGATCAGTCCGCCGCAGCCGAAGGCCAGACCATCTCCGAAGCCCCTGCCGCGGAGCAACAGGAGGTCTCGTACGTGGACCGTACCCGGCTCATGTGCCTGATTTGCATGATGCGTTACAAATCGGTCGAAGAAGTCAACATTCACGAGAAATCCGGCAATCACAAGCGGGCTATGGAGGACGAGGCCAAGGTCAAGGCTGCGCTCCCACGCATCGCCGCCCGAGACAAACGAGCCCAGCAGAAGGGAGAGGTGACGCAGTATCGCGACCGTGCCAAGGAGCGACGCGAGGCCTTTGACCAGCCCAGCAAGCCATCCACCAAGATGGGCAACAAACCCAAGGAGGCGGCACAGCCAGCCAAGGAAGAAGTGAAGAAGCCCATCGAGTCCAAGGGCGCCGGCATGCTGGCCAAGATGGGTTGGTCCAAGGGCGAGGGCCTGGGTGCGACGGGCGAGGGTCTCACCGAAGCGCTGACCGCCAGCGCGTACAAGGAGGGTGTCGGTCTCGGCGCCGAGGGCGGCAAGCTGGGCGACGCGCAGGAGGTGGCCGAGGGGCGCACCAAGGACAGCTACGCGAGCTACGTGTCGGCGGCGCAGGATCGCGCCCGCGAGCGATACAAGCAGATGCAGTAATGATGCGGTCACTCGAGCTGCTTCAGCAGGACCCCAGCGATGAATGTCACTGGGTTTGCGTTGTTTTCGGATGTACAACAAGCGGACCGCGGAATCTGGGAATGTACCCAGACACAGAAAACGGCGTCGGACGTCTCTTGCTTTGGGCACGGGAATCAGGATTGATGCCGCAACGATTTGCTCTCGCATCCTTCGGGATTGTAATGAAGTAGTCATGGAATAAAAACAAGTGTCGTCAGACTTCTATTCAATGCCTCTATAGTATACAATGCTTGCTAATGCCTGCTTGCTTGGTCCCGTAACGAGGGTATGGTATCGTGATGGCTCTGGAGCCACACCAGAGTATAAATCATGTCGTCTATCCATGCCGCTTTTTGCGCGATTCTCGCGCCGGTCTATCCGCCAAATATGCAATGCCGAATTAAAAAAAAAAAAAAAAAAAGGGTTTCTACAGGGTCGATAGTATGGCGGCCACGGCCACGAGGAGCCCGGCGGTGGCGACGCCATGGCGAGGGCTGAGCTGGCCGGCGGCCGACGGCTCGGCGACGCCAGCCACGTCGGGGAGGGACTTGGCGCCCTTTTTGATCTCGACGACGTTGGACTTGTCGTTGTTGACGTTGGCCTGGGCGAGGCCGACCTGCCTGTTGGCCATGTCGTAGACGACGTACGCGGAGCGCAGGAAGGGGTCCCCGAGGAGGGCCCAGTTGTCCGACTTGACGCCGTAGTCGTACGCCGAGGCGATGCCGAAGACGCAGACCGACTTCCAGGAGCCGAAGAGGGCCTTAAGGGCGTCGCCCTTGAGGATCCTCTGGGCGTCCTCGGGGAAGTAGTCGAGGACCATCTCGTCGACGGGGACGCGGATCGTCTTGTTGTCGAACTTGAAGCTGAAGCGGACGCCCTTGCCCTTGTCGCCGCGGTAGGCGCAGTCGACGAGCGGGACGGGGATCTGGTCGATGCTGATGACGCCGAACTTGTCGTAGATGTCCTTGACGGGGCCCTTGGGCAGGAGGGTGAGCGAGGACCCGGAGTCGAGGATGGCGACGCCCTGCAGGTCCTGGAGCTTGACGCCGTCGACGCTCAGGCCGCGGAGCGCGACGGCGTAGTAGGGCGTGGGCTCCGAGGCGTTATACACGAGGCCGTTGGTGAGGGGCAGGGTGGCGAGCGTGCCGTAGTACTTTTGCGAGTCGACGCCGCCGAAGAGGATGGTGCCGGACTTGGCGTCGGCGTCGTTCTGAGAGTCTGGTCAGCCGGGTTGTCTCTACATTGGGATTGGAAAGCCGCTGCGGTCCCACGCTTCAGAGGGAGAAAGGCGGCAGACGCACCAGGTACAAGCTAAAGACGGCGGTGTCGATGACGCCCTGGGCGACCATGTTGTCGACGACGGTGGGGTACGTCTTGTTGGAGGCGACGTTTGCGCTGTAGCCGAGGCCCATGATGCCCGTGGGGCGGACGGAGCGGAGGGCGAGGCCGAGCTGCTGGTTCTTGATCTGCTTGCCGTGGATGGTGAGGGTGTCGTTGACGTAGTCGCCCTGGATGTTGCGGCGGTCGAGGTAGGTGATGTTGAAGGCGCCCTTGTCGACCGTCTTGAACGTCGAGCTGGCATTGGGGTTGACTGGCAAGACAGAGAGAGTCAGCAGGGTGCGCAAGTGGTAAAGTAGTTCGCGTAGAAGCGCACATTGAGTCTGGCACCAGAGCTGCTGCTGCTGCTGCCTGTCCTTGTCGGTGCAGAGGTCGGCGGCGACGGAATTGACCCACGTGTCGCTGCTGCCCGTGTCGAGCAGAAAGGACAGCTTCTGGGGCGGGGTGCCGACGGAGAAGTCGGCGTAGTAGCCGCCGCCGGTGATGTTGTTGAGGGCCTCGAGGCCGATGGACGAGCCGTCGCCGCGCCGCGAGAGCGACGAGGGCGGTATCTCGTGCGCGCGCCGCACGAAGGGCACGGAGACGGTGCCGGCGGAGACTGTCGAGAAGACGGCGGCGACGGCCAGCCCGAGGAGGGCAAAGGCGTTGGCGGGCGGCGGCGGCATGGCGAGCGAGCGAGGCGAGTAGGCGCGAGCAAGCAAGCAAAAAAGGACGGGAGAGGTGTTGTTCGTGAGAGGCGTGGCCCTGTGGTCGTGGGCGGCCGTGGAGGGGAGGGGAGCGGCGGTCGTGTCAGAGCGGGCCGCGCGCGCGTCGTGTCGGGACGTGGTCGCACAAGAACGCCTCCCGTCGTCGTCGTCGTCGTCGTCACCGTCGCAGCGCAGTGGACTGGGAGATGTTCTCGTATAAAAAGCTGCCCACTTGATAATGGTGGAGGAAAATCGACAGTAGCAGCAGCAGCAGCAGCAGCAGCGGCGGCGCTAGAGAGGCGAACAAAAACCTCCACCAGCAAACAGATAAATAAATGACGCGCCACGCACACAGAGGGGGGACCGGGCTGTCCAACAGAAGGTGGGAAAGGGCATTAATGAATAAGAGAAGCAGCAGAGCTGGTCATGGCGCAGCGCAGGGCGCGGGCGGGATGGGGGGATGGGATGTTCTGCCAAGGATCGCGGTTACACACGACTCACGAGAAGGACGGGAGAGGAGACAAAAAAAAAAGGTGGATCACAGAGACGGGCCAGGCAGATTGGATGACGGGCATTTTCTTTGGGAAAGCCGTCACCCAGATGCGGGAGGATTGACGTTGGTGGTGATTCGCCCAGTGGGGGTTGAAGGATTCCATGATCCCAGCAGTGATGATGGTGGAGGAAGCCAGCCAGGCACCCCTGGGCCACCCCACAATTTACAGGGGCTCAGCCCGTCCCGTTCCCACTGGAGGCGTGGTGGCACAGTTTACACTTTACAGTTCCTGTACCTTGCAGCTGAGCCCTGCGGGTAGCTATTACCCGACTCCAGCAAAGGCGAAGAGCCGCATGCTTATTGCTTACCCACGATACTCCAAGACCGTTCGCTGCGCCATCAAACCCCCCATCTTCAGCAAGTCAGACACTCACGGCTCGGGATTCCTCAGCTGCGAGTCAGAGCGCATACTGTGCTGTACTGACCGCAGCACAACACGCGCACCTGGACAGCCAGCTACATTGTTTGACTCACCGGCCGCCGCCCTTGCACTCGCACTTCCACGCCCAACGTCACCCCATGCAGGGCAAACGGCCACCGCCCGAACCGAGCACGAGCCCTCGGGATGCGTGCAGCACATTGCGCGTCACAAAGCGCCGCCGACAAAGCACCTCGTGACGGGCACAGAGGCTCTGGGCACGTCGCAAATCTGGCCCGGCCCCCCCTCCTCACATGCCAACCGCCATCACCGCCGGGCGCGCATCGGCGCATGCACACTCTGACGAGCCGTGCCATGGGCTGCTGCTGCGTGGCCCGCGCGCGCGATGAATCCTCGTCATGCGTCTTTATGGTTTATGCTTACCTGGCCCTTTTTTTTTTTCGAGGAGTGCTATTTGTAGAGCCAACTTTTGCTAGTTGTAGAGCCCATAGGAGCAAGAGCGGCGACAGCAACGACAGCAACGACAGCAACGACAGCAACGACGCAACGACAACAACAGGCACCGCGCCGCTGCCGTCTCATGCCTGCGCCAATGCGCATAAAAATCGCTAGGGCAGCAGCATGGGGGCATGTAGGGACGCTGCTAAGAAAAATCCAGGACGGCTCTACAACTAGCAAAATATCGGCTATACGAATAGCACTCCTCTGGTTTTTTTTTTCTGACAAGATCTAGAAGCTTTCCAAATGAGACTGGACGAAGGGCGGGCATCGTGGGCCGGCTGGCCTGCCTGCTTGCTCACGCTTCACGACACGGACTGGTGTCACTGGACCGAAAATGTGAGAGACGCCAAACAACAATGTTTGGCTTGTGCAACTCGCAGGCCGTCAAGTGAAGCAAGCGAGATCATCGCCAGCCACGTCCATGTACCTCGCCTGCTGCCACAGCTGCCCAGAATCCACCCCCATGCCTCCGCTTGTTCCTCAACAGAGACGTGACTCAACGACAGAGACTTCGAATACTAACATATCCCCGCGATAACCCCCTATACCAGGGCCAGCCCCTGCGCCCACCTCATTGTAACATACTGTGCCTGTTCAACCGCCTCCCTAAGCTTCTTCTCCCTCCCGTCATTCACCCACTCCTTCTTACGCACCCTCACCGCCTCCGCGCCCCCGCCGCGAATCTTGCCCATCATCCGCGCCGCCCACTCCCTATCCGCCGCCGCGCTCGTCGCATGGTTGATCTCAGCGCGGTCGACGTCGGCAATCATGTGCTCTTTAACGGGCCCGGCCAGGCTCGGCGCTGGTTGCTGCCGGCTCACCCACAGCCAGTACCGCCAGATGGTCGACGGCGCGGCCAGGTCGCCGGGCCGGGCGGCAAACAACTGCCCGCCGGACAGCGAGGCCTTGCACTGCGGGCACCATCCGGGTTTGAGCTCGGTGCGCTGCTTGCGCGGCTTGCACTTGCCCTTGACGCAGAAGTCGTTGCGCGTGGCTGCGCTGCTGTGTAGGCAGACGGTGTAGAGGAGGGACGTGATGTAGCACATCGTGACTTGTGTCTAATTAGTTGTATCTGTGCGAGAATATATGTGTTCCCATGTATTGCGTTGAGAGATGGGCTTCGCTCGACTTGGAGAAGCTTGATGGGTGCGCATAAAGGGGCCAGAGGCTCTGGAGTTGGCGAAAAAGGGTTTCGGCTGGCTCGTTTTATATTGCTGCCCGCAGTTTGTGACCACATCACCGTGCGCGATGACAGTCCGTGTGAACCATACCATCCCTTGGAGTCGCGCTGAGCATCAGTCAGTAAGCTTCACAACCTCGCATACCAAACAGTGTGTTTTGTGCAACTATGCCTGACGTCGCAACAACACAGAAAATAGCCAGTATCACGAAACGCCAAGTCAGAGAGCCCCCTCTCACTCTGTATACCCCATTCGCGATTCACAGTCCACGGTTTCTAGACCCCCCTGGGTATCATCATTATCATCATCATCACTCCCTCGGCACAAAGCTTGCTGTACAGAAGAAAAAAAAACCGTTTTCCCTTTCAACGCCGCGCGCCCATGACCAGACGCAATCCCATCGTCACCCATACAGGTTTCCAGCGCCCCCCCCTTACAACAAGTCATAAATTCCAAGCTGGTTCGGCCCCTCCGAAGCGAGAGGGTTATAGCGGTCCGGGTTCTCGCTCACCACCCAGCGCATCGTCAACGCCTGCGCCAGGCCCGCAATCTCGGCGAGCCTCGTCGTCGCCTGGGCTGGGACGTCGTCGCCGTTGCCGTCGCCGTCGTCGTCGCGGCGGCGGCCCACGTGCCGGTCCGCGAGCCAGGGCTTGTTAGGCCAGAGCAGGCCGTCGATGAGCACCGCCTCGGGCACGCACCGGGCCATCTCCCGCTCGAGGATGTTTCGCCAGTGGCGCGCCCCGGCGAAGCTGCGCCTTCCGCGGAGCATCTCCCCGCGCGTGAGCTCGTCGAGGGGCAGGTAGCAGGGCGCCGCCGCCGCCGCGGCGAGCTCCTCCCAGAGAAAGGTCGGGGCCATGAATAGGCGCGGCTCCCGGGGGTGCAGGTCGGGGGCCTCGAGCCTGGTGCGTTCCTGCCAGTACCGCCCGATCTGGGAGGGGTTCCGGGCCGCGGCGTGGGCGTCGTTGCTGACGATGTTGGAGATTTGCATGATGCACTTCTCGCACCAGTCGGGGTGGACGGTGATGTAGCAGCGGTGCTGTCGGCAGATGGGTTGGCTAGAGCCAGGGCCGTTGCCGCCGACTCTCCTAGCGACGTATTCGGTGCAGGGCTCGCTGCAGCACTTGCTCGGAGTACAGTGGCCGCAGGCCGAGTAGAGATCGCGGTTGTCGATGCACATGGCTGCGTGGTGAGCGGATGCCAAGTCCGTCGACGAGGAGGCAGTTGGAGCTGTGTTGGCAGAGCAGTGAGTATCATGACGAGGGCAACGACGTAGAGGTCCAAGAGCATACTGCAGGAAGCTGGCTGGCTCGTATCAAGCCGGCCGCGAGGGCAACAAAGCAAGCTCGTCATTTGGGCGTTGCGCGAGTCTGTCGCCTTTTGACTTGGGCTTGAGGCGCGACGACACACACAGAAGTTTGGCAGAAAACCCACGAATCCCTTCGGATGGATGGACCGTTTGCGTTGCTGAAAATGCAACGCCTGGGACTCAAATGTGGATGGAGACGAAGAGATGCAAATGCTGATATCAGACCAAGAAATGATCGCATGCGGGCGGTCGAACCGAGCCGAAACCAAGGCGACGAGAAAAGACCTGCTGGAAAGTTGAAGAAGATGAAGAAAATGAGCGTGAGGATGCGGTCTGCGGTGGGCGCTCATAGAACTACTCAAAGCGGTACTGTTCAGCGGCGCGGCTGTTCGGGCAGCTGGCAACGGCCGTCTGCTGGCTCGGCACAGCTGTCGGTTGTGTATTGAGGCATTGGATCATACGAATCTAGGTCTAGGCGCGGGGTACAGCATGTAGAAGAACAGCCCCAAGGGGGCCAGCCATGGAGAAAGAACGCGCTGTTCAGTTCGCGGGGGGAAGGTCGATGCAAAGCAACGGCGCCATGGCAGCGCAAACCACGCAAGGAAACAGCTACAGGCACAAACGCAACATATAGGCGCTCTCCTCCAATGAACGAGGTGTCCGTTTTCTTCGCTTTCGTCTCATCATAGCTTGCCGGCCTTTTCGCTGCCGTCCTGCTTCAGCCGGACGACGCCCTGTTTATTCCGTGTCAGCCAGGCCCAACCAAGGTACAGGGACGAGACGATCTGATATCAAGCTCAAGATAAGAAGAAAGGGAGAAAGGAAACACTCACCTCTTGCACGCACGTCGCCAGCAGCGTCCCGTCCTTTGCAAAAATCTTTTGCAGCACGACGCCCCTCCCGTCGCCGGACCAGGGGCTCTCCATCTCAGTGAACATCCACTCGTCGGCGCGCACGCGCAGCGGCTCGTGGAAGTAGATGCTGTGGTCGAGGCTGACGAGCATGCCGACCGAGGGCCTGCCGACCCAGTCCTCGACGCGCGAGCCCATGCCCTCAAACTCGCTCAGCTGCTCGACCTGGCGGCGCACCTCGGCGGGCAGCTTGGGCACCTCCTCGGGCGCAAAGGGGAAGCGCCACAGGCGGTGCACGCGCGACACGGTGCCGATGAAGTAGCTGTCCGACATGTAGGCCAGCGCCTCGAGGTGCGCCTGGTGGCCGCCCGAGGCCGAGATGGCGCCCCGCGAGCGTATCCACTGCCGGGCCTTGCGCTCGTCGGGCCGCGCCTCGGGGTCGCGCGCGCGCAGCACCTCGATCTTGCGGCTCTGGAAGGGCCCCGTGCGCGCGTACTCGGGCTCGCCGTCCCAGTCGTCCGAGGGGGCCTCGACGCCGTCGGGCAGCGGCACGGCGTGGCGCACCTGCTGCTCGCCGCCGGAGCCCTCGCGCGTGAAGCTGATGGTGGTGGTGAAGATGCAGCGCCCGCGCTGGCGCGCCTGCACGGTGCGCGTCGCAAAGGAGCGGCCGTCGCGCACGCGCTCGACGTGGAACAGGATCGGCACGTCGGCGGAGCCCGCGAGGAGGAAGTAGCAGTGGCACGAGTGCACGAGGAAGTGGTCCGGCACCGTCTTCTGCGCCGAGGCGAGGCACTGCGCGATGACGGACCCGCCGTAGATGCCGCGCGCGCCGGGAGGGTGCCACTGCGGCCGCGCGTTGGTGAAGATGTCCTGTTGATCCGCGGGTGTTAGCTGTGGTGGATTGGTTTGAACCGTTGCAGTGCATTGCGTACCGGGCCCAGGACAGCCATCTCCGTCACCTCGAGCACATTCTCGATGGGCGCCTTGTTGGGGTCCTTGGGCGGCGGCTTGATGAGCGTCGAGCCCTCGTGTGTCTCCATGCTGTGCGTGTGTGTCTGCCCCCTTTCGAGCGTTGATGCCGTCGCTGGGTGTCCGCGCTCGTCGGTTTGATGCGACGTAACCCAGCCCGCGGTGAATTGAGGGTGGTGGTGGTGATGGCGATGGTGGCGTCGCAAATCGCCGTAGCAGTTGAAGCAACGCTCGCGCAACGCAGGCCTGGCCCGTTCAAACGTCGCTGGTAATCACCGCTCAAGGGATCCGCGCGGTAGCTTGATGCAATTTTGAAGGAGCCAAGATGGCCAACCGCCAGGGCGTCGGCGTCGAGTTGAGACGTCACTCTGAATTACCGAGGCTCGGGAAGCGCCCCACGCCAATGCCGCCTCGCCCAAGCAAAATGGACGTATGTACATGTACTGTACGTACCTCCAAAGTCCGTTGGCGGCAGGCAGTCCCACCCCGGCCGAGAAATCGGGGCTGTCGTACCTTAATTGTCGGCCCTGGCCGCCTCCCGGTCGGCGGAACCGTCTCCCCGCACCCACATGCATCGCGGCCCTGCAGACGCTGGGTATGAGAGAGTCGGCCCCCGGAAACCCGGCTGGCTGGCTGGACCCTGCCCACATCCCCAGGCGTCCCTTGTGCACTGTACCTCGCTTCGCCTCATCAGCACAGCATCCTGCGGGTACGTAGGTAGTAACTTAGTATCAACATCACATGGATTTATTTTCTCGTCTTCTTTCCCCGGCCCACGCCATCCCTGCTTGCCTGGCCGAGCCCGTTACAGCTCGCGCCTCAAGCCCCTCCACCTTCTTCTATTGCGCGTCTTCAAAGACAGGCTCCAGGCCCTCCCACGCCTTGCCGTCCCCGTTCGGCCCGGCCTTTTCTCGCTGCTCCCAGTACTTACCGTTGAACTTCCAGTACTCCTCCCCCGTCACCTCGCAGCGTGTCTTGCTGAACCATGCCGGCACAAACTCCTCGCCCCTGGCCTCGCGCTCCCGACGCCGCGCTCGTTGGTTCTCCTCGAGCCGGTTCTTCTCCGTCGCCGCGAGGTCGTACTCGCCGTCTTCCATCGCCCTCTGGTCCGGCCGCAGCCGAGAGTCAGTCGGTGCGATCCACGGCCGCAGCTTCTCGTCGATGTGGTTAAAAGTCAGGACAAACGGCGTCAGGTTGAACGGGATTCCCGTGGGCCGCGGGTTGGCCTCCCACACCAGGTACGCCCGGCTTGGATCCGTCATGCCGCTCTTATCCAGAGGACCGCTGTCGCCCAGGTCGTCCGGCGTCGCCTCGTATCCCGGCGTCAGCCGTGCGTACAGCTTCGAGTTCCAGCGCCCTCCCAGGCTCACGCGCACGTGGCCGTCCGCGTCCACGATCTTGCCAGAAATCTGGTATGCGCTCGACGCCTTCCACCCACGAGCCTTGAAGTCGATGAGTGCTACCTCGCCAGTCGTCCAGTTCTTGATCTCCATCGGGCCGTAGTTGTCCACCGTCGGGTTGCCCGTGATGATGCCCACGACCGAAGACGTCACCTTCTTCCACGTGTATAGGTCTTCCTTGCCTCCCGCCGTCGGCCGCAGCTTGAGGAACCACGTGCCGAGCGGGTTGATGTCGAACGACTTGCCGTAGAACTTGGACTTGACCGCCGACTCACCCCAGTATGTCCAGTGCGGTGACTCCGCCCACGCGGCTCCGATGGGCGGGTGGTGGCTGACCTGCTCGATGAAGAAGCGATAGTTCTTGTCCGGCCGCACATACTCAAACGTCTCTCCCAGCAGCGGGTTGAAGGGCTTGGCGACGCGCCCAATAGTCGACGCGTATTCGCTCGCAGCAAAGGCAGCCACGTAGACGAGCCTTTCAATGGAGTCGGCGCGATCCGCGGCCAGGTCCAGCAAATCAGCGTACTCCATATCCTCACCGCACCGATATAGCAACGATGTCGGCTCGTTAAAAGACACGGGGAGCGTCATCTTGGTCATGTCCTTTCCAATCATCGACTTCAGGATGCCCTGCTCTCTGTTAGTGACGACCTCATCGAAATCGATTCCGCAAGCCTCCTTACCCATAGAGAAATCTTTGGCCGGTCATCGGCGTCCATCTTGAGTCTGTGTCGGATGCCGTTCTCGTACCCCTTGAAGGACGGGCTGATATCCACACCCGACACAACCACTTGCTTGGTCTCTTGCACTGCCTCGTGAGGAATCTCGGCAACCTCGACTTCGCCTGCGTCCACCGCGTCGAAAAACTCTTCTTCGTCCCCTGAGTCGCTCTCCGAGAGCTCCCCGAGCTGATCCAGGGCGGTGGCTCTGCGGCCAAGCGTCCGCGTAGGGGATTTGCTCGCGGCGGCCTCTTCCACCTCCTCCTGGAGCTTCTCCGTCGTCGGCGTGTGGTTGGCTGAGAGAACGCCGCCTTCCATGACCTCCTTGAGTGCCTTCTTCGTCAAGCGGCGCTTCTTTTCGGCCTCGCTCATGCGCGCTTCGAGCTCTTCCTGCTCTCGTGCGACTTGCTGCATGCTCTCCTCCCACATGCGTCGCATGTTGGACTCGCGGTCCAGACGATACTGCCAATAGGCATCGCGATCCTTGGAGATCCGGAGCAGGTCGCCCACAAGGCCCGTGAGGCTGCGGATCGCGGCGTCGTATGTCGTCAGCGCCTGTGTGACCTTGCCATCGGAGAGTGGGGTAGCAGGGCTTTGCGAGAGTTCAGCCAGCAGGGCGGTATGGACGCTCGACATGGTCTCGAGCTGCAGTTTCGCTGACTGCGCGGTGATATTCAGCGCGTCCTTTGTCGCCCCTGGTGCCTCTCGGACGCTGCGATCGTCCCCGTAGTCGTCGTCATCGTCATCATGCTCACCGGGAATGAATGGGCCGCCATTGCCATGCAGTCTTGAGACGTCGCCCTCCGTCCCGGCATCTGCGAACTCGTCATCTTCACCACTTCCCACCGTGCTGGTCCCTGCATGAAGGGGAACCTTGTTGCTGGACACGGATCTGCTGGGAAGGTGAGACGTGCTTCGTTGGAGGTCGGAAAGGCTGGCGTTCTCGCTATGCGACTCCTGAATGGAGAGCGACCCGCTCTGCTCAGCTTTGGCCTGCTTGAGCAGCTCTGCGCTGCGGGCCGCCTGTCGCTCCTCCTCCTTTGCCTGATCCTTGGTCCACTGTATCGAGTTGTTGAGCGCCCAAAACCAGCGCTTGGCCTCGACCTCGTGATTTGCCTTCAGAGTGTATTTGACTGACGACTTGCCGATGATCTCAAACTTGGTCTTCTCGTCGGCGCTCATGTGGAGCTTGGCAATCTTCATGTTGATAGCGCCGCGGCAGGCAGAGCCCGCATCGTCTTGATGTTTGTAATAGCTGAGCACGCCGTCCTCGAGGACGAACCACCTTAGTTGGTAGCCCTTGCGGTAGTTTGTCCACTTCTTGAGATAGCCCTTCATCTCGCGGGCTTCGCGTCCCGCCATGAGGTCGCTGGCATTGGCGGCGGCAGTCCCTTGAGATGCAGCGTGGCCGAGCACCGCCTTCTCCTGAATCCCTCGCTGTGCGGCCACTGCGGCTGGAGATTTCTTGAGTATGGCCTTGACGCCGTCATCGTTGGTGATGGACTGCGGCAACTTGCCCTTCCGGTCGCGACGGAAGGGATCGCCCCCGTGGAGCAGCAGTATTTGGATGAGCTGAGTATTCTTCTTTCGCGCGGCTTCGTGAAGGAGGGTGCCGCCCGTCTGCACGGTCACCGGCTCGGAAGCAAACTCGGGGCTGTTGATGTCGAGGACCGTCTTGAGCCGGTGCTCCTCGAGCACCTCTGCGAGCGTATCATAGTCGTTTCTAGCAATGAGCTCCTGCACCTGCGCCACCTTGGCTTCCGTGTACAGCGATCGCGACAGCTGAAGGAGCTGGAAGATTTCGGGATTTCGGGCCAAATCGATTGGGAGCTTGCCCTGCGTGTTGGCTATGGCGTCATTGATTTCCTTCTGCTCGAGCAGCAACTTGACGACCGGGGTACGGCCGTGCATGGCGGCGATGTGCAGAGGCGTATTGCCATCCTTGTCGCGGGCATTGACCTCGATGCTGCCAGCGCCATCGGACAGCACATATTCAATGACGGGAAACTCGGCGCATTGAATGGCGAGATGGAGGATGGTCGTGTCTTCGAGCGGGCCGCCGCTGAGAGTTGAGATGGACGAGGTGCTCGGGCGGGGCGCGTTGTCGGCTGTCTCGCGGATGGCCCTCGAGATGGAGGCAGTGTCGCCGCTCCTCAGGGCCTCGACAACTCTGAACTTGCGAACCGATTGCTCGAGGCTGGCCGACTTGTCGCTGTGTCTCGGCGGCGCGGGCTGGTTGGAGGGGATCCTGCTCAGGGGCGAGGCGGCCGAGAGCTTGGAGTTGTTGTGGCTCCGCGTGGGAGCTTGTTGGGACATGGCGGCTTGCTTGGGTGCGGATCTGGGAGAGGCGGCAGAGCGGCCGTCCTCGGAGCCCGAGTCGTCTTCGCGCGTGTCCTTGCGTCGAAGAAGCGCGAGAGCGGCAGCCGACTTGGAGCGCTTGTGATGCGGCGTGCCGTTGCTAGATGGCAACAGTGTCAGTGCATGGTCTGATCGGTCGGGGCGACCGACAGTCGGTTTGGGAGGCGGCGGAGCTTCGGTAGCGAACAAAGGAGGTGGCCAACAGCAGCGCGCATCATGGACGCTGCAGGCGGCGCCTCTTCGACTCGCGTCGCACCGCCGCCGTTGGCCGGGTGGCGCGACCCCAAAGGTCCTGTGCTTGGCAATGCACACAGAGCACTCCACGTACGTACCTTTCACCTCCTGTGTCTGACATTTTGGATTGCCGTAGCGCTCACGCGGCCCAGAGCTTGAGAGGCCGCCCGATGAGCTGCTTTGGCGCCAAGCGCGGAGACGGTGGGGAGGCCCCAGCTCAGGTATTCGTGGTACCGGGAGGGTTAATGATATAGAGAGGGCTGCAACTTTGTGTGCCGGAGGAACGACGTGGTATGCCGGTTCGGAGGGCGAGCCGCAGGGAGAGGGAGGATATAGTACACGTGAAGGGGGAAGAAGGAGGTGACGACGTCGCCAGAGAACACTTGGATGGATGGTGAGGAGGTCGATGCTTGGTTGGATCCCGGACGGCAGGAACCACGCGCTGAGCTTCTCCTCAGATGGGCTAGGGCTCCCAGGCAACCGGGCGGTAGCTGGTACCCGCGGGCCAGCAGCCTCCAGTGGCCGCGCCAGCGAAAGCTCGTACTGCGAAATGATGCGGAGCACGAGGCCCAGGTATTCGCTACCAAAGGGCGCTGTAGTGGTGAGTTGGAAAGGAAGGTGGGGAAGCAGAGGATCAGCCAGCACCTGCGGTGGACACCCGACCCGATCCCTCCAGGGCGCTGTTTGCAAGCGAAACGCTTCGTCTCGACCAACCACAGGGCACCATGCGCACAAAAATGACGTCTGGCTGCCGCTGGAGCGATCGAGCCCACTGGCTGAGCCCTGGATCCCGCTTGCAAGTTCCAGGTCCGGCGCGGTCGCTTTGTTGGCGACTGTGAGTGTGAGGGCCGGTTGGTAACTTAGGTGGTTTGTGGTTTGCGGTCTCGACTTTGCCATGCAGGTTGTGGCTTCTTCCGTCGCTTCCAGTGCTCCCCTACCTATCTCCAGGGGCCCCTGGAGCAGGCCCGGGGGACCTCATGTACGGCTATCGTCACGACCAGCCCGTACTCGTGTCCAGAGGTCCTTTATCGTCTTTGAAATCATGAGCCTCATGCAGCTCAGCAACAAAAGCTCGCATGTGTGCACGGTCATTCGTCCTCGTACCTCCAAGTGCGGGCTCGACATCATCGCCCCGCCAGATGGGCATTTCAATTGACCTTTTTCTATTTACAGAGGTGTAAATGGTTAGTTGCACAGGCCGCCTCGGGGACACAGTCGTGCAGGCAGCCGGCGCCACCTGTTTGTGCTGTAGGGACCGGGCTCGGCAGTGGCCTGCCTTGGTGCTAACAGATAGCTTAGTTCCGACGTCTCAACTAAAGTAAGTGCCAACCAATGTCATTGTGCCGCTCCGTATTCCTCTCGTTGCTGTCCTTCCTCTCGTTGCTGTCCTTCCTCTCGTTGCTGTCCGTCCTCTCGTTGCTGTCCTTCCTCTCGTTGCTGTCC